ATCTAGAGTGTAGGCATCAAAGAAACAAAAGTTCAGACTAGGGACTGTGAGAGTCTGGGGACCAAAAACTATCCCCGTTTCGGCTTCTGGTTCGTAGTAGAATCTTCGTTGAGTTTTATAAGTTATTTACGGAGGGAAATAATTTTTTTCGTTAACAATTTGCTTGCCGGCGTGCATCTCCATCGACAAACATCCTCAATTTTCTATATCTAATTTATAAAATAGAGACTGAGTTAACACACATTGAGATCGACACACACTGACGTAGATTAAGCAAGTCTTTATTAGCTTTGAAGAATGGTGTTTACCATTTTAAACTATAATCGTCATAAAACGCCGCGTTTTTAACAAATGAGGTCAGCAAAATACAAGTAAGGCTGCTGATATTTACGATGTTTTTATGGATAGATCGATTTTCATACTCGTCTCATGAGCAAGGTTCTGAAACGGATACTGAAACTAGTTGATATCAAGATCATGACTGAGACTACCGAGACCGAGACTCTCGGTTTTGTCTCGGTCTCGGTACATCCCTACTCACAGCACTTAAAACGAGTCGCTTAGATAAGATTATACGGTTCCAAGGTCATTTTACCTTGAAGAACGACTTGGAGTAATTACAATTTTTGTTCTCGTGCACAATTTTGTACCGAAACGAACTGTAAGTTGATAGAATAGTTTCTAGATGTTAGAAAAAGCATTTTTCTTCGAGCTGGGAAAAATTTGACTGTGAAAAGTTACACTTTGATCTGACCATATGAAGATTATGACGAAGTCTAATAGTAGGTCCGAAAAGCCTCAATGTGAGAGAAAAACAAGGGCGTTATGTTAATCCAAGTTCCAAAGTCAGAATTTTTCAAACACCGCCGAATTGATAGGGCTTTTCAAGAACTACAAAATGGCATCGTCAATATTTCTATAGTTGGTCATATAGCGACGCGAAATGCAAAGAACGATACGAAATACTATGAAAGTGAGGATATTCGTAGCATATCAGTGTTCATCACATGGACTTTCACAGTTACATTCTGTACTAACTCTTTTCGTAGAGAATTGAATAAGGAATTTTTCTAAAGAAATACGAAGCCTGAGGGATAAAAGCTATAGGAGATGTTTACGAAATACCGAACCCTTCATTATTTCTGGGCCATCCGTTATAGTGTAAGTTTATGAGACCATTGATTTAGTTGTTATGACAGTACCCGGAAGATAGTGATACTATAAAGCTGTGCGTTTCTATTCGTTTGCGTTTGACGATTTTTTTCTGATGATATTTGCAGCGCATAAAAAATTAAGTCATGTGGCAAAAACAAAAAAAAATGCAGATAGACATTTAAAATTAACAGTACAGTAGTGTTACTAGTACGAAAATCAGCTCTAAATTTTCATTAGCAGCTACAAGACTGCATAAACTATTCAAATAATACCATGATTAACACGTATAAGAACAATTCCATGCATCAATTTCTTATCCAGTAGTGAGCTATCACTAGAATAAATATGTTCACTAATCATAGCAAAACTGCTCGAAAAATCTCTTATTTAATATATTCATCGTTGAAAGCGATCAGATCACTCTTCAGGACATTATGAACAACAAAGAGGTTGGAAAGCTGATATTTATTTTAGGGAATGCAGTTAATAAAAATGATTTAGCTATACTTGAGAAAAATAAGTTTGACTGATAATAAAAAGCTTAACTTAAATAGAAACAGAATCCGAAGCATCATTCAATATTCGTCGTTGACTAACTTAAAGATTTCAGTATTGACGGATTCTAATGTTCACCATATAGTCATTATCTCAATTCAGTTAATCAACGATGAGTCTCAATAGATTGTGAACTACGAAAATATTCTTCAAAATACTTCAATGCATTTTTAGGTCAATATTCTCAAAACATGGCATTCGATCGAATAGGAAACAAATATCTATCATTTCTTACACTATTTTATACAAGACGATGAGTTTTCTGGACGTTTTTAATTTCGTAGAGTTACCTTTTTACCTTCTCTAGAGTAACAGTCTAAAAGTTTTGCATCTCTTAAACAAAAAAATAGCAGGAAGAATTGCTCGAACAATCTTTGAAAAGGCTGGTAATTCTGATGAAAAACTCTGATGACACTTTATTAAAGCTTGTCTAGATTTAGTTTTCATCCCTATTTCTACGTATAATATTGATTACCAGAATGAACCAGAAGATTTATTTAACATCAAGCGAACTATAATTGTGAAAATTTTATGTATAATGTCGAAATTCAAAAGAACTTCTTCATATAAATACGTTGATAAACAATTGCCATGAATATTATATCACAGCTACTCTAGCGTAAGTTAAGAAAGTAGTTTTTTAGGAAAGTATCTTTCGAAAATTTTTCATTACTGATATGTGCGCTGTATTCTTTTCTCTTTTTTTTCTCAAGAAGTCTATTTTTCTCTAAATATTTTCAAAGTAAAACATTATTGGTAATTAAAAAATTGTCAAAAAAAGCAAATTATCGTTGTCACTGCATATTTACGATCAATTTATGTTTCTAAATTACACGAAATATAAATGAATGAGGATTATGACCTACTAAATATATTGTGTTGTTTATAGGTAAACAAAAATCATTTTTTGAAACCAGTGTGTAATAAATGAAAAATCTTTGTAAAAAAAATATTATCCAAAAACAATTTATTAAAGAATAAAGTACATTTATGACTGTACTAATTCTTTACATATAAGACGATATGCTCGTTCAACTTTTTTGATAGCTTCATCAGCTGATGGTGCAACGCTTGCTTTCAATATTTTCATAATATCTTCAAACGTTTGTTCAATATCATTTTTATCATTAGATTTCTCCTTATTTCTATTAAGTAAAACATTTCGTAGATTTTCTTCACTTAAAATTTTTTTTACAAGTACTAATTCTTCATTTGTATAAGTTGCGTTCGATTGATGTGTTTTATATGTTGTTAGTTGGCTAACATTCATTTGTGTTATGGATTGATTATATTTCTTTCCCCATCCAAATGTACTTGAAAACCACTTGCATGATTTACTAGAATGCTCTCCTATTGTTGTTGTAGGTAAATCAACACACGTTTGACATAATGTAGAAAACCACATTCCAGTATCATAAAGTTTTTTCCCTGATGGTTTCGTTTTTACATCAAGTAACTCAATTGTCATTGTATTCGAAGCTTTCATTAATGGTTCACATTCACCTTGACTATTTAATTGAAATTCTTCATATGTACCAATATGAATAACAAATTGGTCATCAAAATTTTTATAACTACTTGAACGGGTACTTTTTAAATATTTAACAAATTTGTTTAATTTTGATGAAACATGTAAAAGTTGAGTTTTTGTGTCAATATATAAGACTCGATCGATAGGTACACCACGTAATGCATTCAAAACAATAGGATCAGTTTTTGATAATTTTGTTCCTCGTGCTAATTGAATGCGAAAATCGAATATATCAGAATACGAATCATCGATGGAACAAAATATACTTGATGTTTTATTACGGATAAAATCAAAATTAATCGGATAATCTTGTCGAAAAAATACCGAGTGACAGTAAAATTGTTGGTCATATTGAAAATGAATAATAGTATGTATATTATTCTTTACTCCATATAATTGTACCTCATATGAATATGTATTTGATGATATTTGATGATAATCAAGTTTAATAATTGTTGTTAGAAGACGTTTTGGTGAAGTGACACCTTTGCATGTATAGAATGATGTTTTAAATTTTTTACCTATGATAAACAATAACAAAATATTAATTTTAAGAATTTCAATGTTTTTCTCTGATAAAAACCTTGAATTCGAAGAATAGAAAAATCTCTAAGTGACATTGATTGATCACGGGTAGTATCCATTTTTGTTATGTACGAAATTCCAAAACGTAAATAAACAGAAAGAGACACATTCTCCAATGAAGATGTTAGAGATTCTATTACTCGATCATAATCTTGAATAAAACGCTGAAAACTAGCTGTTGAATCATCAACCGTATTTGATATTAGTTGTGGAAGATAAAGCGACTTCCCAAGATGTAATGTATTACTTGGTCCTGTATATGGAATAAATTTTATGAAATTATTTTCTTCTTGCGTATTTTCAAAATATACAGAAGACGATGTGTAGTGTAGCTTGACAGGTCCATTATTACTATCAACATTGGATTGTTTCTTTTTTGATTTCTTTGATAATCTTGTAATATTACTGTGTTTTGAGTTATGAAAAGTCGGACGATCAACATGAACTTCAGCAGCAATTTCATAATCAGCAAATGGTAAAACATCATCGGCGTCAAGGTTGTCATCGTCATGTAAAGACATGGTAGCAAACAAGAAAAAAACCTTTTGCGTCTCCTTTTCAGTTTCTATAGGTGGAAAGAAACAGAAAGAGTAGTTTAATCGTTCTTCTTTCTTTGTTGTCAACAGCCTAATAGCAAGAAAAATTACGCAATAGAACAAATTTTGCGTCTCAAATCGGAAATTATTTTGTAAATTAAATTAAGAAGCAGCTATCGACAATACAAAATAAAATCTTTTATACTGCTTTACTGAGTATATATTTATTTGTATTTGTCTTAATTGCAAAGATATATTAAAATATGAAAAACAAACAATAAACAACATGTTATTGCGGTTAGCAGTGCACATCTAGCACAGAGTAGTGAAGCGAACGATAACAATAAAATCATGAAGTATTCTTACCTCCGCTTTTCATAATAATGTTTATCGAATGAATATATTTTAATTTAGAATTTCGATCTCACATACAATACAAGTAAATACATATAGGCGAGAGAAAATACGAATGACAATTCACAATAACACAAAGAGAAAGAGAGAGAGAGAGAGAGAGAGATAATACAATATACATATGAAATGAAATGAATATATTATGGAAAGCTTGATGCTATTGTTGGTAGATGAACCTGTTTATTTTTTTTATAGGTCGTTTTTCTTAATCATATGAAAAAGCAAAAATAAGACCATATTACAATGTAGCTAGAAACTACTTTTAACTGATAATGATCGAAAATCTAAGCGATAATTTATTCTCAAATATAATAACATTATATTTTTCTGATGACATCTGTTGCTACTTTTGAAATTGATCTATTATTTCTTAACAAACTGATTTGATCCGAGTTACCTATGTTGTTTTCTTGAGTTGACTCATCCTTGAAGTATATATGTAAAAAACGAACAAATAGGATTGATCACCGGAGTACTGTTCGATGAGTGAAAAATAGTGTAAAATACATTTTACCAGTATGGGCTGTTGCCTTTCGGCTAAGGAACTAAACTATGATCGAATACGTTCAGCAATAGTTCTTCAAACGAAATGTGAAGCTTTTCGGTATCATGAAACAACGGAACGAGGTCGTTTTCAAGTATGTCTGTCGAGTATCTTCTATTTTAATAATTTTAATATTATCTACCGAAAGAGATTAGGTAATGCGGAATTGGTATTAACAGAAGACGGTATATTTTCTCAAGTTATCGGTATTTCTTGCTGTATAGATCGAGGTTTTGTACATATACCTCTTTTCGCCATTACAAATATTCATGCTCAAGCTTGTAAGAGAAGAGAAGAAAGCACAAATAAATGAAACGTTTGTTTTTCCTAATTTTTATTTAATAGGGTTTTATGGTCTTTATAAAATTAATCGTCCACATTTAGTAATAGCTTATATAGTTCCTGGAAAAGATGAATATGAAAGCTGACTGGCAAATGACTAATTCTTGTTGTAAACAATGGCGAAAAGTCATTGAAAGAGTTCTTACACAAAAACGTATGATACAATGGAATTAATTGCATTCCAATTCAACAAAATTTTATTTACGAAATTCTTTTTTCGTTTATTTGTGTTCACTGCAGAAACATATTTATTGGTGTAGCGATCAAGTGCATATATAGTCGAATTTGCATATAACAATAATATAAATGCAAATAAAAAAGAATGTTAGCTAATTCATAGATATGTTTTTACAGTTTTTCATAGACTTGATGAGTTTATAATAGTTTGTTTTGTTTTTGTTTTTGTTTTCGCTAGTTAAGCAATCGCATGCCGCGTCTTGATGATTGATCTTATAATATGCATGACATTAGGTGATGCGAATAGTGTGTATGCATCGATAAACACGTGTATATGTAAGATTTCGAACGCACCGAACCCAATAGTAGTGCTGCGTAATGACATCGAGTTTAACATGAGATGCGATACTTGACTAATATATTTGTAATCCAAAACTATATGTTAGACTTGCATCAAATTCCCAAAGTATATTCAGATTAATTTACGTATATTGGTGATATAGTACTGTATTTACCGGTCTGCGAGTAACTATGTTTCTGATTTGTTGTAGTTCAATAAAAAAATATAACTTCATTTATTCGATTTCAAATAAATATGTTGTTTTTTTCGTCTAGCAAAATGATAGTCTTCGATATTTCAATTGGTTTTCTCTAGAGATTCTATGAAAGCGACAGATGCAATAGTGAAATTTAAAATTTAGAATCCACTCTATAAATCTTCGTAATTCAAATTCTTATTCCCTGAATATTAAATGAAAGAATATTTGGCCTTTAAAAATTTCTGATTATTGTATTTAAATCGAATCCTGTTACAAAAATAATCGTATGCGACTGAATTCTGTTGATATTTTATTCTAGGAACAACGATTATATACAAGTTAAAAGTATGTCTATTACAAGAATACATAATCGATAATCTTTATTGTTAGCTACAGTTTACTATCGTTTTTGTTTTTGTTAATATCAATTCTTCATTTAGATTTCTGAGATTTTTGTATACGCCAACAAAGATCTTTTGCTGTTTAGTCTCGAACAAAATGAATTGTGATGATTTCAAATACTTTTATGTGATATTTTATGACAATTGACATTAGTGCCACTATTTTAGTTTAATGAAGATTTTCAAATTTTTCTAGAAATGCCATAAATTTTTTCTTTGCAATAAGTAAGTAATACGAGCACTATGAATGCTTTCATTATAGTCCAGACATCTTATGTGTACGTCTTACACATCAATGTTTTTCGCTATCCACAGGCTATTAAAATGAAAAATTTAGTACCCGCTGATCCCATGATCGTTATACTCAATATTTTTAAAGCTTGATGCAAGATGTTTGATAGTCGTTTGCATTAATAGTTGGCATCGTTCAAAATGGCATATATATATACAGAAATATTCTAGAGTATAAAAATCTTCATGTATACTAAATGATATTTACAACTCTGTCCGATATAGATACGATTACATACGTGTACATTCTCTGGCAGAGCTCAATTCATCAATCTAGTTTAATGTAAGCTCGAGTGCATAAAAATCAGATATCGATTGATTTGTGGCTACATATCATAGCTTGATTAAATCATATGGATCTGTATATTCCAAATGCTTTGATAAAATAGAGAAAGATTCTATGCATTAGTATATGAGTGACATCCCCTTAGGATTGATTTCTATTGGTTAATGACACTTTCCATCAAATATACGCATATATGTATACTATATTATGATTTAACTGCATTATATGGTAATATATTTGTGATCAATCTAAACCAATGTCTCTCTGTTTGATTTCAACTAGTCGAAGTGTTCCTTCTTCTTTATTTCGTCGAAGCTTTCTGTCTTTTAATCTTCGTCTTCTCTCCTCCAATCAATACAACAATGACATTATTCAAGCTGAAAAGCAGCAACTAAAAATTAATCCAACAACACCTAAGCAATCACCCCGTTTTCGTCGTTATCATTATTATTTATTTTCTATCGCTACTGGAGCCCTAATTGGTACAATTTATGCTCTACGTCATGTAAGAAAACATGAAGGGAATCTACCTGAATATGTTACAAACGTTGAATTACTTGAACGAAAAGCTATAGAAACTCGTCCCGTACCACCGCCCGTGACTAAACATATTACATTTGATGCTTTACCAAGAAAAAACTTTCCGTTTAACATAACACTTTATCAATATGTGACTTGGTCTGTATGATAGAATAAATTGTTTTTTGTATTTCAATTCTATTATTTACTTTTAGCCCATTTTGCTGTAAAGTACGTGCTTATCTAAATTATAATCGTATACCATACGACATAGTCGAAGTGAATAGTGTAACACATACAGAAACAAAATGGTCTTTATACAATAAAGTACCAATAGTTGTTATTGAAAATGAACAGATACAATTAAACGATTCCAGTATGATTATATCGGCTATTGAATCTTATTTACGTCAACCAACAAAAAAAATTAAAAATATTATCAACTTATATGAAGCTATTGTTCAAAAAGATCAAAAAGGAAATATAAGTTTTAATTATCCAAATAGATATTTCATTTTTGAACCAGCAGTATTGGATCGATTAGAAACAACTAATGAAGAACAACAATCAACAAATAATAAGCAAAGTAAATCATTTTTTGCTAAATTGTTTTCAAGATCAACGGCACAGTCTAATAATGATTCAAAAATAGTTCAATCCGAAAATACTGATAAAAAGAAATCTGATGAAGAGAATGAATTTGAACGCCAATGGCGTGAATGGGTCGATAATAAGTTTGTTCATGTAATATCGCCAAACATTTATTGTACAGTAGGACAATCCATTAGTACATTTCGTTGGTTTTCAAAAGCTGGTGATTGGGAAGAAATATTTCCATGGTATCAACGCTGGATTATTGTTTATCTTGGAGCTATTGTTATGCGTGGTGTAGCAATACATCTGAAGAAAAAATATAATTTAAATGACAATGTTAGAATTTCGTTATATGAATGTGGCGACGAATGGGTTAATACTATTGGCGATAAAGATTTTCATGGTAAGACTATACTTTTTTAAATAATATAATCAGAACACAGTATTCGGGTGTTGAAAGAAAATGAATTCGATAATCTTTTTGCTTGTGTGTATGTGAGGGGGGGTGGGGCTTACTTTAAAATGTTTACTATACTTTGAAGCTAAAGTTATACATGAACTGATTGCGATAATCATTTGTTTCTAGTTTGAATTAAACTATCTCTTAGTTAGCTAAGTTTTGTAAAAGAAAAAGTTTGTCTGTAGTTTATTTATTTTCTAGAATTCGATTACTTTCAACTATATACATTTAGACTTAGTTCAAATTTCTTATTTATTCTTTTATTACTAATTCAGTGGAATTCTAAATATAGATTTACATGGCGGTGACATGTTGAATTCAAACAATTAAATGATGATGATAATATCATGTTTTTATCTTTAATTGATATGAAAATTCCTATCGATAGCAGTGGGAAGTTTGTGATGACTGCTATGGAACTACAGTTCATTACATCTCATTAGCAGAAAAGATGTTCTAGTTAGATGCATAACTTTAAAATGAGGTATTAGTTCGAAGATTGATATAATTAAAGTAATCCTGATTTCCAATCCTTTATTACTGGCACTAATAAAATACACAAAATTGCTATACGGACATGACAGGTATAAAAAAAAGAGATTATTTGTCTTAAATGACAAAATCTGAATTATTTTCAAAAATAAAACATTATCAGATGCGTACGTAGGTGATTGTTTTGGATGAAATACAGTTTTTTTTTCATTTTCTTTTGATAATATGAAATAATTAGTTCTAATTCCACTTCAAAACCAGTTGTTTCAATTCTTAATGTGTTGCCTGGATAAAAAAAAGTCATAACAAAAACACCTATATTTGTATCTCATTTTAATTAAGATGAAATAATTTCTAAAAAAATCGTGGAAAGCTTTTTGCATTGACTATTTATTCTATTCAAGTTTTGAACATTTTTATATGTTATTCTCGATGAATACATTAAAGGAATGATTCGCATGATGATGGAAAATGTTACTTTTACTTACACAACAAAAATTTCAAATGCTATTATGAAAATAGATTACATATGTGTAGTTTCATGTATATGTCAATTTCACGCATATAAAAATGCAACTACACAAATGAAAAAGAGTAAAAGGAATTTTTTCACTCATTTGAAAAATACTTCAATAACTCTGGTAACAAATAAGAAGAACGCGAATATTTTATGTGTTAAGTTTCTTACAGGTTCTGTCGAATATTTTTTTAATGTTTTGATTCAACTTTATATTAGAGTCAGTATGACTCAATATAGGATAAAGAGTAGAAGAAAGAATATTCGATTAAATGTAAAATATTGAAACTAATCTCTTAGCTCGATGAATTATTTCGATAGTTGACATGTTTGATTAATAATGAAATATTCTAAATTAATTATAATTCTATGGTTCATTAAATCTTCTGAAGGTACATGTTTACAAAGTATAAAAGTTTAATCAAGTATAATATAGAAATAATAAATAAATGACAACGATCAAGACTAGAAATGACTTGTTTTTCTCTGATGAGATCAAAAATTCTAATACTATGCAGTTCATTTAATTTGTTTTATACTTTTAATGTTTCAATGCCAAAACTTTTTCCACAATGAATTATTGTACTCATCATATGTTATTGTCAGATGAAGGGCATTTTTGCTTTTTTACTAGATAAGTATCTACACATTATTTCACATGCAACTATGAGGCACATTTGTAGACCAAATTAGTTTCGCATTACAGTTCTTTACATCAGACAGACATAGTAGTTGATGTTAGTTAATGCTTCTATCTATCTAGTTTACATTTTTAGAAGGGTATAAGTATTTCTCTTGACTCAAATTTACTTTAATAATAATCCAATGAAATATACTATTCTTCATTATTTGTATGGTTTTCTTTCGAATTTAAAATATTATTAAGGGAATAATTTGTTTATCAAGCTTTTTTTAAATTTTATTTAGGTGGATTCGAACCAAATCTTGCCGATTTAAATGTTTATGGCATTCTAACAGCTATTGAAGGCAGTGATGCATTTCAAGATCTCATGAACAATACAAAAATTCAACCATGGTTTGCACGTATGAAAAATTTAGTTGAACCTCATCGTATTGATACTTCAGTTCGTTCGATTTCTTAGATTCTTTTCTTTTTAAATATAGATACCAAAAATAAAAAATATATAAATTTAAGCATAATTTTCTTTAATTTAAAAAAAATTTGATTTTAGATAATGACGATTTTAGAATGTACTGGTTGTACTTTAATTGCATATGGAATACCTTTTTCAATGTTTGTGTTCACAATGGCACATCATCCTTTTCGTATTATTATTGCAATGACAAGTGCATTTTTTTGGTTAATATCAATGCTATTGTCTTCACTACTTTGGTTTACGGTCGTTCCATTACGTAATCAACTTGCATTTGCAGTACCATTTGCTGTGTTATTTCAAGAAATCTTTCGATATTTATTTTATCTTGTTATTAAGTAAAAAAATATTTTTAGTTTTGTCTTTTCTTAAAATTTAATGCGTGCCATTTCTATTAGGAAAGCTGAATTTTCTTTACAAACAGTTCAAATGCAAGAGTTAACAGCAAAAGGAATGACTTTTGATAGATTTGCTGTAGCATACGGTAATTAACAGAGCACATTAGATGATGTTTTGTTTGAAATAAAACTTGTTTTTCTTTTTCTTTAATTGAAGCTGCCGGCTATGGTTTTGGTTTCATAAGTGGAACATTTTCTATAGTTAATGTGTTGAGTGACATGACTGGTCCAGGTACGATTGGAATATTTGGACATTCACAAGATTTTTTTATTGCCACAGGTAAATCAATATTTGAATACGATTGAATAAAATTTTTCTTTTATATTTGCTTAGCTTTTCTAACATTGGCCATTATTCTTTTAAATACATTTTGGAATATTATTTTTTTTACATCACTGGATAAAGGTGGAATTCATCGATATCTTGGCCCCGCCCTTGTAGTTATAACACATATGTTGTTCTCTTGTCTAGTATGTATATGAACGATTGCTAATTGAATTTAAACACGATTTTATTTATTTGTAGACATTACTTAATCGAGCAACAAAGCCGACTTATTCAATTCCCATTATAAATGGTTGTGTGATTTTATGTGGAATGATTGTATATGCCTTGTTCTTACGTGGATTCAATATTCGTCAACGACTAAGTCGTCAATAAACATCTATTTGATATGCCTAATTTGTTGTATAGTTTGTTTTGTTCTTGAATCATACTTGATGTGCAGATAAGCGAAGAAAAATGTTTGTCATAGAATGAATGAGCATTGTATCGCAATATTTTTTTAAAGTAACAATGATATACTTTTCATTTTTATACAGCGACTAGATATAATCTCAAAATACTTTGTTTGTTTTTTGTTGTAGTTTATAATATAAATAAAATGACATCAGCAACACAACGGAAAAAAATTGCAATTGTTGGCTCAGGTAATTGGGGAAGTACAATGTAAGCTTTTTTGTATTGCTGATTTAAAAAATAAATAATATCTCTAAATAAAGTGCCATTCATATTGCTGATAAAATTGCTGATTTAAAAGACGAATATGAACAGAAAATTCTAATGTGGTGTAAAGAAGAAACCTTAGATGATGGTAGTAAATTAACAGAAGTCATTAATGAACAACATGAAAATATAAAATATTTACCACATGAACGAATTCCAGACAATGTTATCGCTTTACCTGATCTTTGTGAATCAGTAAAAGATGCTGATATACTTATATTTGTTATACCCCATCAATTTGTTAAAAAAACATGTGAAGAACTAAAAAACAAAGTGAAACCAAGTGCATTTGCATTAACATTAATTAAAGTTAGATATAGAATATAATAATCGATTGAAAACTTTTTGTTTTCTTTTACTTCAGGGATTTTACATTGATGAAGAAACAAATGATATTTTATTAGTTTCACAAGTAATTAAAAAGACATTAAATATTCCTTGTCTTTCTATGATGGGAGGTCTGTTCAGTACTATTGAAATTTGTGTGCATTCGATTATTCGTCTTATTTTCTAGCTAATATTGCTCGAGAAGTTGCTGAGAAAGTTTTTTGTGAAGCAACAGTTGGCTCTCGTAATGATAAACATAGTGAAATAGTTCGACAAATAATTGATGGACCTTCTTTTCGCATACGTATTTATCCTGATATTGAGATTATTGAAATACTTGGTGGTTTAAAAAATGTCATTGCTATGTGTGCTGGTTTTGCCGATGGTTTAAAAGCTGGTTTTAATACTCGCGCTGCTGTAAGTTTCTCTGACTTTCTTTTATGTATTCATCCACAGGTCAAAACGAATTTTCTATTTTTGTCTAGGTTCTTAGATTAGGTTTTCGAGAAATGGTTAATTTTTGTCGTCTAGTAGAAAAAGAATCCACAGCAGAAATCTATTTAGAATCATGCGGCATTGCGGATTTAATTGCATCATCATTAGGTGGAAGAAATTATAATGGAGCAAAAAAGTTGGCTGAAACAAATAAGTCATTAAAGGAAATCGAAAAAGAAGATCTCAATGGGCAATCACTTCAGGGTCCTGGAACTGCTAAAGAAGTTTATCGTTTTCTTCAAGGAAGAAATTTATTAGATCAATTTCCGATGTTTCGCGATGCTTATCTTATTTGTGAACAGAAAATTAGACCACACTGTCTATTAGATAATCTTACTAATCATCCGGAATTTCAAAGAAAATAAAAGTCATCAAATTCGTTATGTATCAATTTAATCATATTCAAAATAACCTGACTTTATAGTGGTGCTCCTAAAACTTTTTTTCATCAAAATATGTGTATTGAACACTGATTCAATTTCTTTAGAATATTAGTTTCCGAGCAGTATCAAATAAATAATTTCAAAGAATGATAAAAATAAAACATAGGTTTTTTCAATTATTAGCCAAAGTCGTCTAGTCTTTTCATTCGATATAAAAACAAACAATTAGCAACATCTTCTGGTAAATTTATTATTGAACAAATTATCGAATAAATTAAATAAACTTTTTCATTAGTCATTTTATTTTTCGTGTCAAGAGTAATTAGAAACTATTAGATTCGTTTTAGTCAGAATCGTTTAAGAAAAAAAAATGGTAATAGTGCTTTTGTACTAGTCTTTTGTTTGTTGAATCAGGAGGACAATTAGAAAGTTTGCTTTTGCTAGATTTGACTAAATGTCTGAGAATCGACCAGCAATCTTGGATAGAATAGAACAATAAATTCAGAAAAATATCAGATAGAATTAACACCGGAATAACAGAAAATAAATTACTAATATTATGATCAGCAGATACTGTATAAGAGCAGATTTTCAACGGTAAATATTATCAGTAAGTTGAGACAAATGATAGTTCATACAGAAATGAGATAAATAAAGATATTTTGTTGTTGAGTCAAATTTGAGAATAATATATTTTATATATCTAAGTAATTTAAAGAAAAAGAATTACATTCAAGAGTAGAGTTTTCAGTTTTATTAGAAATGTACGAGTGCTGTTCAGTTGTTTTCAATTATTAAACTATTTTATTTGTGAAACTAAGAAGCATATTCCATGAATACCTATGTTGTATGTGATCTTGTGTTGCATTGTCTCGGCATGGTCAATTTATAATTACTAAACGAAGTTGATGATCAGTAAATTGAAATTACATAGTTCTATGTATATTTTAGTCGATAGATTCAAAGAAACGAAACTTTTTAAAATGACAAATAAATCAACATATTGTCCTTTTTTCATTGACTTAATTCGATTGGTTGATGAAATCGTATTTAGTTTTTAGAATATAACCTTTCAAAACTTTCTTATGTGAAACTCTATTTTATATCTTAAAATATACTTGTGTACCACTGTTGAAAACGGTAGAGAAGTTTTGATGAGTTAATTATATCTATTTTCGTTTAAACCTCTACAGAATATATGCTACGTAACCAAAATATACGACGTTCATGTAATCAATCATGAACGTGAACGTTTATAAAATGATAAGTGATGGACATTCTTAATTTGTTTTACTATCATAATTGTAACATATACGATAATTCTTATGATAATACTCAATGCTAAGAGAGCAATACCAGAAGCAATAAACGAACGTTTTTGTCGTTGACGAAATCTTTGTCGCATGTCTGGAGGAGTATTAATGAAAACCTATGTAAATTGGTGAAGGCAATTGTTTAACTTTTTTATACTTCTGAAAACGAAATATTCCGAACCCTTTTTTATTTATCGTTTCAGAATTACTCACAGAAACTAGTAAACTATTTCGTCGTGATATTTCACTCATCTTATTCACTCTAGGCCAGTCAATCGAATTCTCTCTGTGAACATCTTGTTGCTTATCATTTGATAATAATTTTACTGACATTGCATCCTGTTAGATTTATAAACAAGAAAATAAAAACAAAGAATGAAAAGAAATTTTGTCGATAGGTCTTGATATTAATGACGAATTGAGATAATTCACAGGATGCTTTGTGCCGTATTAAATCTTTTTCTAAAACAAAATTCGATGCATATTTTGTAGCACAGAGTTAGGTTTTTGTTACCGATTGGTCTTGATTAGTAACTTCTGAAAAGTTCTCTTCAATTTTATTTGTTCTCATATGGATTTTCTTATCAATATTTTGATCGGTAGTGCTATTATTATTTCGACCCTCATTATCATCGCCATCTTCTTTAATTCGTTTTGTGATATAAAAAATTTGATATGAACCTTTCCGTAAAATCGATGGTTTTCGTTGCATACTGATTGATTCGTTCTTTAAATGTAAAGAAAATAGTGATAACTATTTTAAATGTTTATGAAAATAAAATTATTTCTTACATAATTAACGATCATTATGATCGTCAATTTGATAGATTAAAACTATAGAGGAACAGTCTGTTTATAGAAAAGTACATAAATCTGAAAAATAACAAATCTCAACGAGAGGAAAATTATTCTTTTTCTTAATTTTCTACTTACGGTATTATATTATATTTATGCATCTACTATTGTTTTGTTCTGTAAATTTTTGCATTTCAAAGAACAAAAATTACTGTAAGATCAAGAGTAATCCTTCATTTGCTCAATTAACAATGCTGAATACCGGTAACAACTGTAATTAAGAAATGAAAACAAAAGATAGTCATTAATATAGTTGTAATAATGGCATAAATGTTTTCAATTAGATATTTATCATCGAGAGATCCTAGTATTCGAGATTATAAAATGATGCATTGTGTATTTGAATTGAAATCAACTAAAATGCTAGATTATAGTTAATCGTTAATGGAATCTCTCTCTCATCAATGATCTACTTGTTAAAAAGCTAGTCAGTTGACATTATTTTTAGCATGCCTACTGAAAAGAAAGTATTCAACTACGAATAGATTACACAGTATAGAGATGATCACAATAGAATTCACTTGATGGGATAATATTCAGACGTCGATCTGTAAGAACATATACTTCAATGAAATTACTTGAACTGCAAAAAATCGAGAAAATTTGCTGCCAAATAATTTTCTTTTTGTTTTTTTTTCGACAATTTTTAGATGTTCCGTTCACAAATTGAACTCGTATAACATTATTTTGTAAGTGCATTACAACCAAACTGAATTCTACTACAGATTGTTTTTAAGGCAAGAAAAGGAAAGTTAGAATATGAAATGATTTTATGAATGTCATTGCTTAGTAACATACGTCATCAGAACTTGCACATACAATAATACTATTGTTAAATATAATCGAATGTTATACTCCGCAATTTGATTTCTAGATTAAAACAAAACGATAATATACCGTGTTGTTTTGTTTCGCACGTCATTTTTCTACATGAAATATGATGATAGAAGAATAGTAAGAGGTGTTAATAGATCTCGACTTTCTTTAGAGAACAGTCGCTATTATTGCGACACTGTAGAACAAATTATCAGAAGAGAATCGCTATTTTTGAATGAACTTTTTTCTGTAAAATGCTATCCTTGCATTTATCGAATTTGATTACATTTCAAATTTCTTCTGGTCAGCTAACTCATTAGAAATTGACTTGAGACTGATTTAAGAAACAGTTATATTGTTATTTGCGAATAGAAATTACATTCACTTCTATTTCAATGAAAAGCATATAGCTGATGTATAAGCAATCCTCTTCGACTTTGTTCAACATATTTTCGACAACTAAGAACAATTAGTGATCGTTTTATATGTAACGTATATCAAACAGATATTAAAAAACTTTAAAAATCTTAACGCTGACCTTAATGCAAGTAATATGTGTATGTGTCATGTACATGTCCACAGGGCGACTTTTTGCACACTGTCCTGTCCTGTTGAAAAATAAATAAATAAATAAATTTAAGATGCATCCTGTTTCTGTCCTGTCCTGACGGTCTTCAGGCAGGGCAGGGTATCCTACTGAATTGGAATAATGTTTGTATAGTAATTTTCGATATATTTTATAATAAAAAGGCATTTTTCTCATTGTAATTATTATAGAGGATTTTTTTTTAATTTTTAATTTTTAATTTAAATTAAGCTAATTTTAGAATAATAGTAACATTCCACCCAAAATAGCAGAATAAATAAGCGTGTAATAAGAAGAAAAGTGAATGATACAATATACATAACTAACCTAGACTCGCACGTTTATTGTAGAACTTCAGTTCAGCCAAATTTACAAAAATAACACAAGAAAATAAGATATCCACCATGAGCAAGAAAAAAACTAACAATAAATAGACAATTTACTTTCCGTGTCAATGGTTTTCCGCTGATCTTACTAATAAAATGCTTTCTAAACAATCTGGTTGAAGATTTGTTCTTCTCTTGTTCAAGATCCAACCAGCTGTGGAAAATTCTCTTCCCACATGTGTTGTTGTTGCAGTTATTGAAAATATTGATCGAGCATACTTTGAAAGAAATGGAAAAGCTTGTTGATGATTTTTCGAAAAATCTAACGGTTGCTTTGTTTCTTTATTTTTATCGAATTCAAACAATCGATATCGATCTAGTTCATCACCTTTTTTTATAGTATAATCATATTCTTCACTTTCATTTCCGCTACTGTTATAATCAGTGAGCTCTTCATTTAAACTTCCAGATTCAAATCGTGCATACAAATCGGTTTCTACTTAAAGTCTTTTTTTGATGGTTCGATGAAGTGTTGTTGCTGTGTTTGTTTTCACGTAGTTTTTTAATTTGTTTTCTAGTATATTCAAAGCATTGCTCTTGTACTTACATAATTAAGTATTTTTTCAAATCAGAAATTCAAACAACTGGGTTTTCATTTTTCAGGGTATATTTCTCACCCTGCCCTGCCCTGCAATTTACCTGATGTATCCTGTTCCTGTTCCTGTTCAGGGCAGGACAGGGCACAGGACAGGGTAACCCTGCCCTGTCGGCATCTCTGGTATGCGACCATTGAATAATCCATTCGTTAATATTTTAAGTCGATCAACTCTGATATTAAAAAAAACGATTATTCGACTTATTTTAACATTCAGTGAAACTTTTCTTTTAAATTTATTTATCAATCTATCGAATTTCATGTTTGTTTGTATAGATATATATATATATATATTGACTCAGATGATACATATATCCAGCTGATAATGACATCTATCACGATTTAAAGCTTTCGTCCATTAGGATTTATGTCCACTTTTAGAACAAAGATTCATGAAAATAAAATAAACAGAGTGACAACTATCGACTGATTATTTGAAATATTGAATGAAACTAACGGTTGAAGAGATTCTACAGATGTGATTTTTATTTCCAAGCCACTTTTTCTTCATTGGTTTCTTTATCTGAAATAGATTCGATATATTTATTTTCTCTTATCGTACAACGAAAACATCCAAAATAACATCTTTACAGTTAAACTTGCATGAAATTTTGGTGGATAGCTATAAAACAAATGTTTTGATAAACCATTATTGAGTTTTTTCTTCACTTTCAATAATTTTTAGATATTCAATTTCCATCGATAATGCCCGATAATAGTGACGGTGGTAGTCCATCACAAGTACGTGCACCTAAAAGATCACGTTCGGTAGGTTTAACAAAAATTAATAGAATGAACATTCATTAACTATATATTTCTATGGTTTTAGCCAGATCATTCACCAATTCTTGAACGAAAATCTAAAGTTGCTAAATTTGAAGTAAGACTTTCTTTTCTAATAAAATTTTTTGTAACATCAGAACCTGTTTAAAGATTTTATCATTCATAATGAAACAGTTTTTAATCGTCAGAAAACTAAGAGAAAATGAAATCATATTTTAGAAAAATTTTCAAGTCTATTTTCACCAAACGTTTAATTGTGTAAAACTCATTAACTTTGAACTTTGTAGTTCTCAAAAAAATATTGCATCTTTTTCTGTAACAAAGAGTTTATAAAAATATACTATGAAGGTTCGTTTATATGTTTTTCTTAGAAAATTATTGTTTAAATCTAATTTATTGAATCATTTCATAAGTAGGCTGATTGAACAACTTCAAAATTGAAACTACACATATCTGTATAATTGCTTCAAAAAGGCATAGTATAATAGGAGTCATATTTTCAATTTTCTTTCAATGTATTTGATATTGAATGTATATCTTTCGAATGTTTTATATGGCTAATATTTGATACTTTTGCTGTTTGATAACAAGAATAGAACTCTGTCAATATGGAGTCTTTTTTTCGTTAAGTTAAATAGTGAAATACGAAATCGATTAGAATGATTTCTTTTTTTATTTCTAATTAGTACGATTGATTTTTCAAAGACAAAATGAGACATATGTGTCGAGATTACTCCTATGAAACAATAAAGTAATACTAATTAGTAGTAATTAGATATCAACAAAGCTAAATTATTCCTGGCCGAAAAATAAATATAAGCACCACTCGTCTCGAAGGAGTCAACAAAATGATAATATATAACGATCAAGTTTGTGAAATCAATCCAGAAATATACTATTATTGATGTTAACATGAATTTTTTTACAAGTTCTTAAACGCAATCGTCTGTATTGATAGATTCTTCAATAGATATAAGTACAGAATGCATATAGCGACAGTACTAACTGTGTAGTCTTATTCTGACTTGATTTTTTTCTTTTATAGAACAGAAAGATAATATATATGATGACTATAAATACCCATTTTTGTTTTGACTCTTCATCCATAGACAGACGGCTTATATTTCCACGTGCCGATGAAATAATCGATATTATATCTCTATGTTGTGTTCATCGATTTCTAGTCATTTCAAGTCTATTGCATGAAATGATATCACGTAATAACTTGTTCTTTGAAATTAGAATTGTATAGAGTAACTCTGTCGTGCAGAATAGAATAAGCATATTCGGATAACAAAATGTTTCACGTGAAACCAGATTTAGATATATTTTGGATGATAAATCTAAGTCAGTAGAAGACTTCATTTAGTTTAGGTTGAGAATTTTCAATTTTTACTTGAGAATAAATTCTATTTCAATTCATCGTTTATTCTATATCATATATCGATTATCGATATATGAAATCTTGAGACAACAGAAAATGAAGTGATGCAAGAAGTTTTTTTCTTTCTCTTCTCATTAGTCTATATACACCTGTTCTTTATTGAGTGTCAGTTGTTGATGTCTATTTATGAAAAAAAAAGAATATCGATTTCTGCTAGTTAAATTAAAGCAACTGACGTTATTTCATCAAGTTCGTTTACACTATATAAATGCTCGATTTTTTAAATTTACGATACAAACGATACTTCATGCTGCTGAAGGTGTTGCACAATCTACACAGGACCTTTTAATCTGTTTCACAAAATGAATGCTTTTCTTGTGAAAAATTAGGTCTTGTCTAGTTATGTGCATCATGTTCGCTGCTTTACGCCTCGACGAGATTATAGTATTTGTTGGTTTATTTTTTTCCTTTCCTTTCCTATTCTTTTCTTTATGTATTTATTGATTCCACTAGCAAACAAAACCATAAAGGAGGACAATAAAAGTAGATAAATCTTCTATTTTGATTTTCTCTTTTGTTTATAATTTTTTCATGCATCAACAGTATCGATCGGAATGGTTTCACTCTGAATTTCTTTTATGTGTAAGTGATTCATCAGAAAAGTATGAGAGCATTCAGAAACACGCATTCATAGTTTAGATTAATGGTTTGAAATTTATTTGATATTAATGATAGATATTTCTTTTTTTCTTTTCTAGCTACAACAAGACAATGCTGGTCAGGATATCAGCAACAAAGAAAATCACACGAATCATAAACAATCTGGTATGATATATAATAGAAATATAGTTATAATAAATAGCATGAATTATTATTATTTAGTGGAATGTTATTAGACTTTCTAGTGAAGTGTAGATTAGAAATGAGATCGAAATTGTATAAAACAATGTTCTGCAAAGAGCTATAGTTCATGTTTTCAGATTTTATTCATTTCGTGTATCCAGAAATGAGAGATTTCTTTATATTTGGCTAGGAAATCTTCATACGGGATACATTGCTTAGTAAATTTAATAAAATATTGCTATTCAATGTCTTGTTTAATAATAATAAAATATTTTAACTTAATATGCTAGTTATCTCTCATCAAGATACGAGTGATTTAGTTTTTCCGGTATAAAACATTCGAAATATTTTAAGTTTGAAACAATCAACTGAAATTCGGCTTACATGAGAGTGAATAGAAATGTTCTTGAAATTTAAATGAAACATAAAGATACTTTCTTTATGGAAACATCTCTATTCTGAAATACAAAAGTTCATTCATAGACGATAAATGTAACTAGGCATATTTGGATAAAGAAAATATTCGTTTTAAACATAACGTTGACAAGTTTTTAGTGACTATGATACCTATCAATAGCCCTACAAAACAAGTACAACATGTATCATGTGGCAAGAGAAGGCTTCGAAATGAAAAGAAGATCTAATTGATAGTAATAACCAAGTCCAATAGAATGGAAATAGTGTCAAACTAAATAAAAGTTAATGGCAAATAAACAACGTTAAATGTCTTATAGATTTAGTTTTGTGAGTGTTCATTTATAGTTGAATTAATGAACTGCATAGAATAGCATATAAATTTGAAAGGTAACAATATCTCGGAGAATTCATTTTAGCCTGATGCAATCGAAAATGAAGATAACTAAAACGACGAATACTCGTTTCTTAAATATTGATTGTTGTTTCACTGAACTCTTTGTACATGTTTGTGTTAAACAACAAAAGATTTATACTACTGGTATTTATTTTATCTCAGAAACCAAAGACAAGTTAAATCTATGTGTATTTATTGTCTTTGATATTAGATATAATGTCATATTTGAATAAAAAAATATAATAGAAATAAGTTTAAATTTTATTTAGAAATGATTATGGTAAAACATTCTTTATCTACGTGTAATATTGAAGAAGATGATCAAGATGATGGAATCATCATCGATCATCTTGATTTATCATCTTTACCTTATCCTTGGTATCGTTCAAATTCACTATGGTCAAATATGATGGCGAAAACATTTGATGAAACATACAAATGTCATTCAAATTTTCTTAATGCACATCCAGCAATAACAATTAAAATGCGAAGTGTTCTATGTGATTGGATAATTGAAGTAAAAGAAAAGATTTTTTATTTTTTCAGATACTGTTTTAATAAACATACCATATTCTATTAGGTTTCTGAAGTTTATCATCTTCATCGAGAAACATATCATTTAGCTATTGCTTATATTGATCAGTATTTATGTAATACATCTAATTTACCAAAAGCTAAACTTCAATTACTTGGTATAACCGCACTGTTTATTGCTGCTAAAATAGAAGTAACTATAGTTAATAATTTTTCTCTTTTATGAAATAATTCTTTTATTTATTCTCTATTAGGAAATCTATCCACCACGTATATCTGAATTTGCTTATGTTACTGATAAAGCTTATTATGAAGGCGATATACTTGATATGGAATTAGATATATTGAATGTAAGCATTGTTTTTTTTGCCTTGGTAACTTATAAATGAATTTAACTGGCAACATTTTTAGGCGTTGAATTGGTATATAAATCCAATGACGTCAACTAGTTGGCTATTAGCATTTCTTCAAGTTGAATCTGAAATTGAATTGATGAATAACAGTTTACAGTCATCAATATCTTCAACTAATGTTACGCCCTCACATTATGATCGTTGTATTAAAAAACGACGTTTATCTTTATTAAACACTCAAAAACCTTCATCATCATCATCATCAGACAGTGAATTTTTGAAAACTTCAATGCTAACAAGTGTACATCGAACACCGATGTTCCTTCAGACATTTTCATTAGCTGTTCGAGTAAGTTTTTCTTTGAAATTCAAAAAGAAACAAATCTACTTGTTGTTTTTTTCAGTTACTTGACTTTTGTTCACTGGATATTGAATATTCACAATTTCCAAAGAATGTAATAGCTGCAACAGCTATTCTTGCTTGCAAACCAAATTGGCCTGTTGAACAGATCACTTGTAAGTTAATAAAACAGTTCAATTAAGTATGGAATATGCCATTTACAATATCATTATGAGTATCGTAAATAGAGACACTTCATTGTTGGTTACAGACCTTAATAATACAATGTATATGATACATATAGTTTACTAGGTTGCATCATCATTCGAACATTAATATTTTATTAATTTTCAATTTATACTATATTAAATACGTTTTATCATGTGTAGTTGGCTCCTTTTGATCTTAACTATTCTCGCATGTGACAATTAAATCGAATTATTAGTATAATTTACATAGGAGACTACTAGACTAAGGCAACCATGAGCCATGCTCGCGTATTGTTCAAATCGATACATGCACAATCATCCCATCTAAAAATGGGAATGATATTTCATTAAGACATATTATGAAAACAGTACATGAAAGAAATCACTAGACGGCTTTGTGGAACTGATATTTGAGTGTATCTGTCCTATTCCCAATATCACAGAATAATAACAAAAAGAAAAAATATTTGAAATTATAACAGAATTGAGAAAGGATTTCAACAAAACTAGATATCTTCGTATTTCGACAACCAAATGTATTGATTTCAAGGCAATTTTCCTCTTAACTTGTGAATTCGAGCAGATGCATACATCACAGTGTCCTGATAAATCCCGAGGGGGACGTCATTTGCAAATATTTTTTTCGCGGGAATCCTGACAAGCGCTGCGATGCATGAGCAGGTGTCTCATTCCGATGAACTTTACACACATTAAGTTTCGCATCACTAAAATTCATCAGGTAGTTACACACGAAAGAGGATACAACACAGAGGCCAAAAGCAGGCCGTTTCTTCGAGACCTGTGGGCTTATCAACGTTTTTGAAGCTAATAAAATAATGATGAGAGACTAGAAACTAGAGGTACATACAGAGCACTAAGTGTACTTTTCACGTGGAGGTAACCGACCTGTCATAGGCATAGACTCCGATTTTCTGAGCAGTCAAACTGGCAGGCTCAGACAGGTCAAAAATTGCTTGAACCTCTGATAAGTACTGGTCCAAAATTCGTGGTCTATGCCTCTGACAGATAGGTTACCTCAAGGTATAAAAGTACACTCGGTGTTCTGTATGTACCTCTAGTTTCTAGTCTCTCATCATTATTGTATTAGCTTAAAAAACGTTGATAGGCCCACAGGCCTCGAAGACGCGACCTGTTTTGGTCTCTGATACAAAACATAAATAAAATTATAGGAAACAAAATTTTTAACATCAAGTTGAATAAAATGATAAAACACGTACATATACGATTTAAGCTAAGTAAGTTCTTATTCTCGAAAAGCTTTAGAAAAACTTTCTAGACTGTTCGACTTTATTCTAAAATAATCATTGAAAGCAATGAAAATCTTCATTTTGCTACTACAATGGCTGCGGTAGGAGAAAATGATCGAAATTCAAGTTTCATCACAAATTACTAAACTTTGACAATCATCATTGTTGTACTTTGTGGTTAGGTTTTTTCAAAGAACTTTTTATCTGATTCTAACTGATGAGTCGACTTTTTGCGATATAGTATAATGAATCTCAGATTGATTTTTCTATTTTTACTTTCATCTTTAGCTTTAAACGATGATGATTTATATATTTGTCATGAATGGATGAAGCCATTTTTCGATGTACTTTATTTTGGCCAAAGTCTAACGTCAATGCCAGTTCCAGCATCTCGGTCATCACCTGCTATACCGATCGATGAAATTTATTCAATACAAATACATAATATCTCTTTGGATCTGCTTGTATATAAGCTTAATCTATCTATTTCATTTTTATTTTATTTTATTTTATTTTAATCTTTTAGGAAAATGTTTATAAAAAACGTCCGAATTTTATTCCACCAACAACAAACAATCGTCCTTTTCGGAATCTTGTCAATCGTTTATCATGGCTGCCAACACCGCCAACATCGCTAGAAAAGCAACACCATGAAATTATTGTCAATGAAGAAGAGCAACTTCAAATAGCGGAAGTCGTATCAGTATAAACAAGTCGAGTCAGATATATATTTTTTTTCTATGACAAAAAATAGATAAAGTATGTATTTTTTTTATTATTTTCCATCACGTATATTTTCTTAAAACGATCATCGATATATGTATTTTGGTGATTAAGTCAGATGAGAAAGATATTAAAAGGGTTTTTCTCTTGTTGCTTCTTTTTTTTATAAAGAAATTAAAAAAAATCGGTACAAAGCCGATCCTCTCTTTATGTTTTTCTTCTATTTCGACTACATATTTCTTTTTGTTCATTTGATTGTTTTCCTTTCTGACATTTATTCCAAATGACTGTTTTACACTTTATTTTTCTTGTTATCATCAACGTCGATTTATGTCTGTAAAGTCCAGTTGTATGTGTTGTTGTTTTTCTTTTGTCGTCTTATGCAAGCCCTTTTCCTCCTGTCTTCGTCTAATTCTCATATGTATTTTTTGTTGTGGTTGTTATTGTTTAACATGTCAGATTTTCTTCATGCTGTTATTGATGTTGGAGTGTGTCTAACGACGATCTATAAGAGAAAAAAAGACAGCAATAAGAATATCGAAAAGATTAATTTTGAAAAAAGATCGTCGTAAAAAATAAAGAAAGAATATATTATTATTTGATTTGCTACAGTTTAGACAAATTAGAATGATTATTGTTATTTTTTTTTGAGTTCAGGAAAAGAAAAAAAAATTTAATTGAAAATAGATCGATGTATTTATTTCCTTCTTTTTCAATGATATTTTGAACCAATAGGCTTCACGATTGTTAATTTCACTTATTCAAAATTCGTATGCTATTCTTTCAGATGAAAAAACTACTTACTTGATTCATTGTTATCTTTTGGAGATTCAACTAATATGCCTAACGTTTCTTGATTATTGCTGATATAATTGTAGCTCATAGATCACATATTGAATGCAGCTTCATATTATGTTCTATTTCATTGCTATTTATACGTTTTTCTAATTTTGAGTACTAGATCATTTTCATTAATGAATGCACACATAGTGATTTTATCTTGCCTTTGATGGGTATATTTACACACGCAGATATGTGTTTCAGCATTTTATATTCATAACCTGTTTCTGCAAATTTAAACGCTAAATAAAGATTTAAATAGTGATTCAAATAATAAACGCTAATTGCAACGAGGATGTAAAAACAGATTGAAGCAATCCTCAATTTCCATAGATGAGTTATTTTTAGAAAAAAAAATTAAAATGAAGTTTTCTAGCACCTAAAACTTGACCATATAACTTTCGCCAGGATATATAAGAAAAATAGAGCGATACATGATCTATAAACTAAGATCGATGCGAATTCTCTACAACAATTTTTGCATGAGATACGATAATTTTCAGGTAGCCCTTAAAATGAGTTTACACTGTAGCCTGCAGAAAAATATATTTATGGAGTTTGCAATTAGATTTCATTATTACAACGAAAAATTGTTGTAGAGAAAACAAAATGATCAATTAAAATTTTGAAAATGACTGATATTTTAACAAGCATAGAATTACTGGAATACGAATCACTGCATGTGCTCATCGTTTCAATAAATATTTTTAGATCTGTGGATTGTTTCCCTATAGAAAGATGGGGCTTTGTCTTGGTTCATTGGGCTCATCTGCTGTATGTTGTTTTGGTAATGCATTTTGTTCACTTTGTTGTTCAGCGTGTCCATCATGTAAAGGCTCGACATCAACACGTATTGCGTACGGTCTTATTCTTGTTGCTGGACTTATAGTATCTTGTATAATGTTGATACCTGGTCTCGAAAATACGTTAAGTAAAATTCCAGCTTTATGCAAAGTACCAAATGCAAATATTCATCTTGTATTATCCATTAATTGTTCACAAGTAGTCGGATCACTTGCTGTATATCGTCTTTCATTTGGTATGTCAATGTTCTTTTTAATTTTATCATTATTAGTAAGTTTACTATTTATGGATAAATAATATAAAATAATATTCGCTGTTATCTACATAGATGATAAAGGTGAAAACATCGAATGATTTTCGAGCAAAGATTCAAAATGGATTTTGGGGATTCAAGTTAATTATACTTATCAGTTTGATTGTTGGAGCTTTCTTCATTCCCAATAATGGCTTTGATTATGTATTTATGATTTTTGGCTTGATCGGAGGATTTATTGTTAGTTAAATTCTAGTCCTTTCTATATTAATCTATTTCGTTTTTGTAGTTTATTCTTCTTCAATTACTTATATCAATTGATTTCGTTCATTCGTAAGTAATCATAGTTGAAAAGAAGGGAAAAAAATGCAAACCGGTTTTTCCTATCAAGCAAAAATGATCTTTTACGAGATTGCTATTGATTGAATTTTTAGTAGATCAATTGTACAAACAAATTAACATCTAGAAAATTAGATATGAAAAGAAACACATTTTAAGTTGTGCAAAATGTTTATTTCATTTATTCGATTTTCCCATTGATTGAATTTTGAATAGGAAATGTTGTTCTGCTGAACAGATAGACTTTTTAGTTTTAAGTTTAACAAACATTGAGACAAGCAATTGTTTTCTTTAGGTGGAATCAATCTTGGGTTGATCATGTTGAATCTGGTTCTAAACGACATGGTTATGGTTTGCTTTTCTTTACTTTCCTTTTCTATGCATTAACAATAACTGGAACTGTGCTATTTTATGTTTATTATGTGCCCGATCGTTCTCTTTGTCGTTTACACGCGTTTTTTATTTCATTTAATATTTTTTTATGCTTTGTTTTATCGATTATATCAATATTACCATATGTACGACAATATAATTCTTCGTGTGGTCTTCTTCAATCATCATTTGTCAGTCTCTATGTTATTTATTATACATGGTCCGCAATGAGTAACAATCCAAAAGAGCTTTGCAATCCAAGTATTAATTCAGTCGCTCATCCTATCAATCCATCGGTAACTTCAAATCCACATCCAACAAGACAACAACATTTACTTGATCCAATCACAGTTATTGGCTTGATTATATTTGTCTGCACACTTTTTTATTCAATTATAACAACATCACGTAATAATCGTGCAAAAAAATTATTTTTCTCTTCTTCGATTGATTCAACGATATTAGATGACGCACAATTAGTGAATTCAGTATCTGATCATAAATGGATGTTAGGTAGTGATGATCACAGTCATCAACGTGTGTATGATGATGAACGGGGATCAGTTACATACAATTATTCATTATTTCATTTTATGTTGGTGCTTGCAGTATTAAATGTAATGATGACATTAACTAAGTAAGAAAGCTTGTCAGCGTTAGAGCCTATCGAGTTCGAGTCTGACAATTGTGATCCATATAATTTTTTTTTTTGAGTTTTCATCCATTTTACACAAAAATGCTTACACTTTTTGATAAAAAGTAGAAGATTTCATTCCTCGATTAGAAAAATTCCTTGACAGTTTGCAGAGTATTTTTTAATTCTGAACCCTAGAAAAATTGAGTACTAATATTCGAGTTCAAAAATCCTGATCGATCGAGTCCGATTCCAAAATTTTCAATCCGTCGGGTACGAGACCGGATCCAGATTCATAAACTCTTGAAGCCGATGGGCTCTAGTCAGCATAGTCCTTTTAAAGCTAGAATATAGAACACACACACATATATATAAACATATTCCTTAGTTTCATGATATTAACAGGACACACATTAAATGAAAAAGCTTTAGTAGACTTCAGCTGTATTCAAATGACAATTGGTGACTAGAAAAATACGATGTTATGCAGTTGTCTATTTCAAACAGAAATGTTTCATATCTATTTTATTCACACAGTCGAATTACATTAGCGTTTTTCTTGATTGAACATTATGCTTATTCTAATTGTTGATTCAACTGAAAAAATAAGTTTGCTTTTTACACAACGAATGTTAACACTCTATCGTATACTTCGATAAACGTACAAACATAGAAATTGACTTTTTTTTGTATGTTATATCTTGATTACTTCAAGTTTTTATTTTTATTTGTTTTTGTTGATCATATGAAGGTTGTAGGAAGTCAATACATCATGGTTCTTAACATCTTAGATGTAGATCTTTATAAGTGAAAATATCAATGACTACACTATTTAAAATATTGATAAACAAAATCAGCTCTTCAAATTTCGAGGAAATTCTAGGCCTTGGTAGGAGTGCTTTTTGATATCTTTCTTGTTTTGTTGCTGAAATATTTGATAAAAGAATTTCAACATGTCTCATTCTTAGATACTAACAAGATATACCCAATAAATGATCTCTTTTCCATTTCGTATCGATAACTTGCGTCGCAAAATATCAGCTTAAAAATTAAGCCAATTGTATTTACCTTTAGAACACATCATATGTGATTCACAAAAGAAAACTATTTTATTTCCAGGTTCTTCCTTTTCTTCTCATCAATTTTTTTTCTCATCAATTTTAGTTGGTATGATCCAGCCAAAGATTTTAGTACGTACAATAATAATTTAGCATCACTTTGGATAAAAATTATATCAAGTTGGTTATGTGTGCTGTTGTATGTCTGGACGTGTGTAGCACCAGTTCTCTTTCCTGACCGAGATTTTTCATGAATTTCATGAAATTAATTTTTTGATTGTTTTCTTTTTACACATCTATTGTTTTCTTTTATGCATGTGAAACTTTCTTAAGTAATGAAAATGAGTAAAACTGAACTATTTAAATATTTTATAAACATTTGTGATTTTATTTAACGATAATAAATTTTATTGTGTTTTTTTTTAAGATGATTGATAATGTTTTTCTTAATGGAATTCAGGTATGATATTGAAGAACCTTTATATTCATCTTTGTTTATATGTTATATATTATTGATAGGTAGTTTTATTCAGAAATTCGACAAGATTTTGTCTAACCAAAACTTAGAATTCAGTGCGATTTGTTTAAGCGTAATGCTGTGACGTTTTGACCCTTGAGTTTCGAACGCTGTCACTTATCGTTTAATTCCCAGCGAACGACGATCTCCAATTAAAATAGACCTGGAACCAACTTTGTAGATCATGAAACGAGCTTTTCAATGATAGAAACTTTTTCCCTAGCTCTCATTATTCAAAAAGAAATGAAAACATGTAACGTAACGCTGTGACATTATTTTTTGTCGAGCGATTTTGAATCCCTTAAGATATTCGGATCTAGTTTATTTTCGTAATCATTGATCTACTCTCTACATATAACCAGTGTACAAAAAATCAAGTTGCTGCATCGAAGTGGAAGCTCTTTACCAGTACTGAAAGTTGAAAGCTCTATAACAATGTAAAAGTTGCCTTGAAGGATGAAATTTAAAAATAAACTGACCATTTTGTAGAGAATTAAATTCTGTATCGATTGGTGCGATGCTGAGCATTTTCCCAAAAACGTTTTTCGTTTAAAAGCTTAAAATACGATTTAAAATGCAAAAATTTTCATTTTTTTTGTAGGAAAAAATTCTAGATTCGCAACCAGCGCAAAAATCTGCATCTAATGATATATAGCGATTTCTTCATCTCGAAAAAAACAATTTTCAAAACTTCCACAGCGAAGTAACACGTTACGTGGACAAGCCGAGTAAATGAATAGTACATGTTAAATCCTTTAAGCATTCTTAATTGTTGTACTGATATCTCAACTCCTGTTTTATTTTTAAACTTATTCCATTGCTTATCAAATGTGTATTACTTAATAGAATGTTTCTATGAGGTGATTAGAATAAATGGCAGTTTAAATAGATCGGACGATTTTAAGATCAGTTTACAATTTTACGGTGCGAATCACTGTATAGCGATGTTTCGAAGTCGCCATATTTTTAATGCGATGCGAAGCAGAGGCATTTCTGTAGTCCGTCGCGAGTTTTCTTGTTCTTTTGCTTTCTCGACGTACGCATCTTTTTCGTCGTTTTGTGATGCGATGATCTCGAGAACACAAAATCGTAGAAAAGTAGTTAAAACGTCACATGGAAGTATCGAGATCGAACTTATAACACCTGTTTTCGAATCTTCAATCTGAAGCTCCGATCTCTCAAAAATTGATTTCCAAAATGACGAAAATGAAAGAAATTTGTTGCGAGATAATTAAAGTGACGCCATCAACATATGTTAGCCACTATAGTCTATTCATTTACAGCTGATCTAAGATAATGAATCATGGAGATAATTAATCGAACAATCGAAATCAATGTGTAAGAATAGAATTTTCTCAGTGATGAATTTCATCATGTCAGCATAAAAAGTATTCAAGATTTCTCTGAATTGAAGATTTTTCGTATACGAGTGCAACTCGGATACCATCTAGTTTTTTCTCGATCTACGCATCCAAGCTCCATATTTTGTGTCGCGATGATCTCGAGAGCGGCACAGCGCTTGACAGTCATTGAAACATCACTAGAATCGTTGAGATCCGAATAGGTACAAAATTTTGTCCGATTTGGTCTATGACCTTTCGTTCACCCAAAGTAAAATCCGGATATTACTAATAATCTGTGGATTTTATTTTCATTAAGTCGATCCGAGCACATTGAGACTTGTCGCTGATGCTAGCAGCGATTAATTATCGCTAGCACTAATAATGAGCGTCGATGTACAATTGCTGACATCTTTAATGCTGTGCTTCGTACTGCATTCATGTAGTCCGTGGCGAATTTTTTCTTTTTTTTTACTTGATGCACGCATCAAAAGTTGTCATTTAGTAGCGCGATGATCTCGAGATCGGAAAGTCATAGAGAAGTCGTTCGAAGTAGAGATGAAAGTATAAAAATTGAACTTGCGATATCTTTTCCGAATTTTTAATGCGATTTTTTGCTTGCTCAGAAATATTGTTCAAAATGACGATTTTGAAAGCTATTTATCGTTTTAACAATTCGATATAATTAAAATGACGTCATCAATAATTGTGAGCCAATAGTCTATTGCTTTACATATGATTCAGGAAAATGATTCATGAAAGTAGATAATCATTCAATGAAAAACCTCGTTAGAAAAGTGGTTGTTACATTTTCCAAGAGATCTCCTAGTGATGAATTTCATAATGGTCGATTTAAGAATGGCGAATGCGAAACATAAATTCAAAATTCGTAAACATTAAGAAAAAAACGGTTCTAATGAACTCTGAAATTGACCATTCATTTTTTTATCTTATTCCCCATGTTTTCGAAAATTCGGCCTGTGTGCTTCGCACCGCATTTCGTAGTCGAGTGGAACTCGAATACCATCTAGTTGCTGATGAATTTACGTAGTGTTGCTGTGCTTCATAAATATTGAAGTAAATGATGACTTTTCTTGTCAAGATGAATTCTTACATCATCAATCAAATGTATTTGCTATTATCAGTGAAACTATCATTAAATAAATTTGATGTATTTCATCTAAAATGACTTCCTAGCGTTCTAATAGGATAGTTGATCGTTGATGTACCATTCAATTACATAGATACGAGCGCTAGTGATATTTACTTAGCACCTTTAGGTATCTTGCACAGGTCATGATAACTACTGTTATAATGTAATCAATATTGATAGAGTAATGAATCTGTAAGAAAGTTATTTTCTTTTGTTTTTGTTTGGAAGCATAGTTTATTGATTGATGTAGAAGCTGGTCATTTTCTTTTCATTTTTCTTTTCATATTAGTGTTTGAACAACTATTAGGTGTCTGTAGAAATCGATACACAAAATATTTCTTTCTGAAAGGTAAAACTTTGGAAAGGTCCATGACAACATGTGCCTACACAAAGGTCCATTCCATGATCTACCTATTATGTTAGCAAGAGAAATTATTGTTTGTTTGAATTGTTCCTGCGATTAAGTTGGAATCTTTTCATGACTTGACTATTACGTTTACTCTATGTATATCGAATTTCTAGAAATACTAGAATTATTTTTTATTAGCCAAAACTACCATCAAAATAGACGTTTATATTGCTGTCAAATGACTGAAGTATTTTTGCTAATGAGTTTAGCTCGAGAAAAGTCATTCATTAGAGGATACTTTTATTTGGGTATCAATTCTTTCTTTGGTAATATAAATAGGATTTAAAATAAATACTTCGTATCGATGCACTAAGCCGATATTACTGTAGAAATTAACCGAAGAATTTTCTTCAATAGTTCTATTAGTACTGATTAAAACTAGAATTTTATGAGATAATGTCTTAACAGAAAATTGTACTATAGAGTTTCGATACACACCAACAAATTCTATACTTTAAAAATAATTATTGATTTATCGGGGCATTTCTGATATTTTTTCATTTCTCTCACATTCTATCTGTTGCAGTTAATATGTTTTTAGTTTTTGTTTTAATTTTTTTCATAGTTCTCACCAGTTGAACTAATTTGTTTCATTCGATGAAGTTATAAAGAACATAGAAAGATCTTTATTGACAACAAGTCAAAAACAAAAACGAGTTGTACAATACAATTTTTACCATCGCCAAAATGTGTCCTTAATCATGTGCAGGAATTAAACATTGATAGAAGGTTACTTAACGATGAAAAATAATAATAAAATCAAGTGATATTCGCCCCTTGTTGTAGGTTTTGGTCATTTTATTTTGATACTTATTTTTGTCTCTCATTTTATCATGAACCAATGTATTATGCATAAATAAAGTCAACTGTTTCTTGTTGCAGTTCTCATGTCAAATAGAAAAAGTATGTTATGTTGCAAGATTTGATTCATTATCAATCAGTTGATAGTCATGGACTAGCGAGACATGTCGTAGAAGATTTCTTACGCAATTCTAGTTAATTTCAAATAACTGATTCGACAGATTAAGCTAACTAAAATGGAGTCATCTATTAGCTCATTTCTTTTTCCCTCAGCGATATTTTAGAAATAACTTATAAACATCATTGAATGGTCTCATGAATGTTAAGTGCTACTCTATCAACCTAATATTCCGTTTAGTTCTTTTCAAGCTAACTGTTCCTTTTGACTAGTTCTTTCAAGAGTACTTTTTAAAATGAGAGGAACTATTACGTCAGTAGTTTTAATACCATAAAATTTGAAAATTTAACTGTAGGATATTACGAAACAATCCTTGTCAGTTGCTATTCAACGAGCTTTGTTACATCGAATATAATTATCAAAAATAAATATTTTGATTATTTACAAAAGCATCAAATAATCTTAATAAAAAGAAATAATTCGATTTGTTTTGAAACGAAGTTGATGTAAAAATTAATAGGTAGTAGTCTTCGAAAAACATAATTCGATGAAAACTATAATAGATAAACAGTTCACATGAACGATACATACAAGAATAGATAGTAGAAAAACCAGGAGCGGCGGAGCGTCATTAAGCTAGGTGAGGTTCATAATATATTTTTTTTCTACCGTGGAATTTTATGAACGCATCAAGCAAAAAATAAGTCTTCTTTTTGTTGAACTGCAGTAAAAATAAACATGGTCGCTATAAAAAAGATGATTGGAAAATACCAAAAAAGACTTTTGCTCCTGCTTTGATGCGCGAATAAAAAATAACAATATTCAGTACAAAAGTAAGTGAGGCTGAACCTCATCTTGTGAAATCTAGGTGAGGCTCAAGCCTCATGGGTCTCAGTGGCTTCGCCGCCACTGGCTCAGCGTAACAAATCCTGAGAATAGAAAATAACAATTTGCAATCTGAAATCTAGGTGAGGCTGAGCCTCATCTGTTGAAATCTAGGTGAGGCTAAAGCCTCACCTGTCTCAATGGCTCCGCCGCCACTGAGAAAAACTCTTGTGAATTTTGGACAATAGCGAGTTATTTTGGAATCAAATAGATTCTTGGTCGAATGACATTTTCATATTTAGAAACAAAATTTTCGAAGCATCAGTTTACTTTAGTTTATACGTAATACAGCTGCATTTGCTTTAGTATGCTATTTTTGTATTTTATTGTTAACTAAACAATGTTACTCTTTGATATTGATTGACTATCCGATGAATAACTGTATTTTACGTTTTTTTTTTATTGAGTACGAGGAGCATATTGCGACATTTATAATTCCGTATCTACTCTGCCCAGGAACAGTTGGAAATATGAGTGCCTTTTTTTCAAAAGACACTTGATAAAATGCTTATCTTGAAGCATACAACTGAATCTTTATAAAATTTGTCATGTTTTAATAGGCGACTAATACGTTGAACTTACACTTTTTATCAATAGTTATTTTTCAGAAGAAAAACTAGTAAGATGAAGTCAGAAAAATCTTACGTACAGCTATTAATAAATATCATTCATTTATTTTAGGCACAATATTTAGAATAAATCAGATACCTAGTACAAGTTTCAAACTACGATTATCCTTATTTCATGCAGATCTTAAAAACAGGTTAAATCTAACGTAAAATTTTGTTTATTCACTGAAATGCTTTACTTTAACGTAGTCGTCAAAGAAAGTTAACCATAAAACATTAAGTTTTAACAAATGAAGAAACAGAATAATATACTGACAATAATCAAAATATATGGTAGAAAGATCGCTGTTAATCTGGAAGAAACTATTGATAGATTCATTATCTTAATGTGCTTTTTTACTTTACATATGACATTATTTAGTGCAAGACTGATTTAATTTAGAAGAATTTAAATAATCACTCACATAATAAACATTCTCCTTTGTGAGTAAGGATACAATATGTTCAGTATTTATTATCTATTTAAATTTACAAAAACAGTTGATAAGATTTAGTTATAACATTCAAACAGAATATTTCATAGTGTATCTTTGAAAACAGAAGATTACTATTTAATCGTACTCGTAAACAAACATGCGTGCAATCAATATCAACAATAATTTTTTTGTGCGTTTGATAATATCTGAATTACCGATGAAAAAGAATGTCTACCTACAAAAGGAAACAATAAAGTTTTGAAAACTATAAAAAAATGAATCTTTTTCTTTTTGTTTATTACTAATTCCGTATGATTTGTATTATTATTTTCTTTTCAAATAAACTAAGTATGACTAAATAAATTGCCCATCCAAGAGAAAAATAAAGCAAATAGTTGATTCTCTTTTTATATTTAGTCATGTCATGTCACAACTGTTACCGTTTATATCCCGCAGTCTATGGTATTCTTATAATAATAATAATTACATGCATATTTACACGCGGTTTCACTGACATTAGAACAAATTTGATTGATCAATTACGTTCATTTGATTATATTCGAACATATGTTGAACTTTACTTTCTTATGCTCTTTGATTCGATTATTTTTATATTATCAAGTATTTTTCTAGTCAAATGTTCTCGATGTTTAAAATATTTACGTTGTATTCGAGTGATTCTTACTCTATTTCAATTGTTTATCTATGTCTACTCATCAAGTAAATTTCTTGTTTTCTATGAATGGAAGAATATTCGAGAATCAACTTCACCGTATCAATTCGATCGATTTGATTATTTAGCTATCATTTTTATTGCATTATTTGCATTAGGAGGAATTTTAATATGGACTTTATTTTTTCGTACTATTAACATTAAATTTGACAGTCGTTCGACAGATCCAGAACGAGAACATCTTATTAATGAAACAACAAGACGATTATATACTGAAGAAGCAAGTTCATTAAATGTAGATGGTACTTAGAGTTTTGATATTTTTTTCTCAAAAACTATTTACTGTTCATTAGTTGCAGATGCACTGTCTAGGCCGACTCTTAATGAAACAAAGAATGAAGATATTCAAGTGCAAATTAAAAAAAATACCAGTTCATGGTGGCGAATACTAAAACTTGGTAAAGAAGAATGGACACTATATATTATTGGTTTTTCTGTATTATTAATTGCTGCAGCAAGTAAAGGAGTACTATGTAAAACTGTTGAAAAAAATCTTTTTTATATTCTTTATTTTAGCTGAAATGATTCAACCTTATTTCTCTGGCAATATTATAAGTTCAGTTGTTGCTAGTGATTGGCATAAATTTCTTATTAGTATATTTTGGTATCTTGGAGTATCAATTGTTTAGTAAGCTATTTTTGTCTTTGATTGTTATAGAAATGAAAATAATTGTATTTAAAATCAGTGTCATATCATCTGGTCTTCGTGGCTTTATTTTTTCAATAACGAGTGCTAATTTAATTCAACGTCTTCGAAATACTCTTTTTACTTCTATTGTAAAACAAGATATTGAATTTTTTGATGAAACTAAAACAGGCGAAATAACTTCGCGTCTATCATCAGATATAACAACAGTTGGTGAAGCTGTTTCCGTTAATTTGAATATATTTCTACGAAGTATGGTCCAAGCAAGTAAGTATCCATAGATAAAAACAGAAATCATATCATTCTACATAGTAATGAAGTAGAATTTCTTTATTAGAGTGGAATTCACTTGAATAGATTCGTTACTTTGAAATTCATGTTTTATTTGAACAAATACAGAGGATCTTTAATTTGGAATAGGTTCGACAAAAAATTCGTCCTCTTAGATTTTTCTTACAGAATGATGATAGCTTTGTAAATTTTTCACTCGTTATTGAATTACTCGTACCATTGTTGAGAAACACAGCTTTTATCTCAGATTTTGTTTACAAGTAGGCGTTCATTCCTGTAATATTGAAAAAATAAATCAATGTGCTAATTTTAGAAACAGACGCAGATATCACTAGTATTTTTAACGATGGAAATTAATTACAACGAACACGCATTTATTTTCAATGAACATTTACTATTCAGTATGCGTATGAATGGGTTTCCTTTCTGAACTTATGTTTATCTGTCAGTGCACTCTAAATGTCTAAAAATTGAATTTAAAACTCAATCCCAATAAATCTTACAATTGTGATAATATAAACATACCTTTGAACTACTATTAATCGTATCAGAAATTTGAATTAAGCCTTAATTACAGAAAATTCATTTGTCCTTATTGATAAAAATGCAACTCTAAATAGGAAATAAAACTGAAAAGCATACTATCTATCTGCGCCTTCAAACATCAATAGTAATCAGATATTTGGTATACATAGAGTATGTTTTATAGATGGATTACGGTCAGTTTAGTATATCATAGAAGAATATTCAAAGTCGAGATCCTATTATTGAAATTCGAATTCTATTATTTATTCAATTATGAGAGCAGCCCCTAAAGAATAATTTAGTAATTAAACTGAATTTTTTTCTCTTTCTGAATACTATGTACCTAACAATGTGCTGAAAATTCCAGTCTAAAGATACATAAAGAGAATCACAATTCTTTGCGGTAAAATTCTTACGCCATTCGAAGATTTAGATTATCTACTGATGAACAATATATAAGAATTATAACAAAGAAAATAATGCTATCTCGAAAAATTAATTATGAAATCAATTTTCTCATATTTCTCATTATTTATTAATATTTATTAAAAGAGATACCTAATAATATTCATTTTTTATATTATTTAGTTGGAATAATTATCATCATGTTAATATTATCATGGAATTTGTTTATTTTAATTCTAATCACTGGCCCATTAGCATTTGGTGTATCTAAGATTTATGGAGATCTTATGACTGTAACTATAATCTATTTTTCTAAGAATAAAATAAAAAGTCACTTTTGTTTTCGTTCGTTTTCTTTCTAATTTTAAAGAACCAACAAGAAAAAATTCAAAGTGCATTAGCTGAATCAAATTCATTAGCAGAGGAAGCAATTTCTACTATTCGTACTGTGAAATCTTTCGCAAGTAAGCGCATAATCTGTTTTCGTCAAGTAAACTTTTGATGCATCTTATTCGTTTTATTTAATATTGACCAGACGAAGATGAAGAAATTCGATTATTTCGTAAAAAAAATGATATTATTCGAAAACATGCAATTCGACAAGCTTTCTATTGTGAGTTAATTTCAATTCATTTAAGAATTCATTCAAAAATTTATTCGATTAGATTTTGGTTACATGTGGAATGGTCAAATATTAACTGTATTACTAAATTTAGGTACACTTGCTTATGGTGGCCATCTTGTCATGTATAATCGATTAAATGTTTCTCATTTTGTTTCATTTATTTTATATCAACAACGACTAGGCGATGTTATTAATGTAAAAATTAGTGATATAGAAATTCTATTTAAATAACATTTCACGTGTTTTAGTCGGTCAACGATGTTTATGCAAGTTTAATGAAAGCAAGTGGTGCATCAGTAAAACTATTTGAATATATTGATCGAAAACCGAAAATCATTAATAATGGAATTGAAAAACCGCATCATTTTCAAGGACGCATCGAATTTAAAAATGTTACATTTTCATTTCCAAATAGAAAAAATGACAAAGTTTTGAAAAATATTTCATTTACTGTTCAACCTGGACAACAAGTGGCTCTTGTTGGACCAAGTGGAAGTAAGATTATAATCAATAACTGACTGTACATTGGAAATTATTTCTGGGATCGTCGGCCTAAGAATTAAAACAAAATATATTGTCATTGCTCATTGATTCTAACAATCTTTAAAAATTTCTAAGTCTTGCCCAGAAATAAAATATAGACAAAAAAAGATTTCAATCTAAAGTGGTACAGCAGCAATTTATTTCATTTATGCACCGTTAAACAAATGTGAGCTTATCAACTACGCATAAAAGAAAATGATAGATATAAATAATGCTAGCCTGAATTTAGTAAAAATCTAAATGAAGTCTTTTTTTTCTATCCATGGCAAAAAATTTTGATAATATCGAAATTTATTGATGCTAACAAAAAAATCTTATATTTCATCCCTTACAGGTGGAAAAACAACATGTATTAGTTTATTAGAACATTTTTATGAAGCAGATGAAGGTGAAGTATTAATTGATGGTATATCTGTCAAAGATTATGATTATAAATTTTATCATGAAAAGGTTAATTATTTAAAAAAAACAATCTTTCTCGTAATTAATCCAGTGCCTCTAAAAATAGGTTTCACTTGTTAGTCAAGAGCCAGTGCTCCATGCTCGGTCGATTAAAGATAATATTCAATATGGTCTAATAGAAATGAAATCTCAAGAAGAAATTGAAACTATCGCTCAAATGGCGAATGCTCATTCATTCATATCAACATTTCAAGATGGTTATGAAACTGAATGTGGTGAACGTGGAGTACAAATGGCTGGTGGGCAAAAACGTTAGTTTTTATTTAAATCTAGAATTTGATTTTATTCAAGGTTTCTTTCTCTTTTTGTTTTTAAATCTTAATAGAAAGAATTGCTTTGGCAAGAGCTTTAATTCGTTCACCAAATGTTTTATTACTAGATGAAGCCACAAGTGCTTTGGATGCTCATGCTGAATCACAAGTAATTCTTTGTTGTTTATAGCAGTGAAATTTGATACATACATACATAATTACGTGGAAACAAGCACGACAGCTAGAAATATCTAGCACTCGAAGAAATTTTAAAATAAAAAGTTGAGACAATGATCATGAAGAACTTAAAGATAAATGACTGAACAGAAAAATTTCTTTCATAGCTTATGTTGCATATGAAAAATTTAGAATCTATCTATTTTAATTGACTTCTATTTGTACTTTTACATTTCTTATTAAAGCAAATTTTTATCACGTATTTATAGGTACAAGAAGCAATAGCTCGTACAGTCCTTGGTCGTACGGTACTTGTTATTGCTCATCGCCTATCAACTATTCGTAATGCAGATAAAATTCTTGTTCTTCAATTTGGCAAAATTGTTGAAGAAGGTACGCATCTAGAATTAATTGATAAACATGGTTTATACTATGAACTAGTTAAACGACAAACAGAATTAAATGAAAGTAAAACTACAGTTCAATCGATTGAAAATCATAAAACAACAATATCAATGGGCATTCCATTCACTGATAAAAAACATTCAATTTCATTCAATTCGAAAGAATCTATTTAACAGACCTATGAATATAAAAAATATATAGACAATGGCACAGCTTCGTTTTTTTTATTTCGTTATATGAATAAATATTCAATTTATTTTAAATCTAATTTTTCTTCATCTTATTTCTAAATTTTATAAGAAACAAGTATGATGGTTTAAAACTGAAAATATCCAGAATATCAAGCAGCTATGTTACGACATTTCTATATAAAGAAATTTTCTGACACTATTTTATTTTATTTTATTCTTTATTTCATTTTTCTTTTTGTGATATGTTATCTCCATGCATTCGTCAAATGTAAAATCTCATATACGATTTAATAGGTAGACAACTTCTCTGTTTTAAACTTAGTTGTAAGAAGAAAATTTATTTCAATAATGTCTTTCTAAGGGCATTTCATTGAGGTCAATAATATACAACGTACCATAACTTTTGTGTATATAATCATGAATTATCTAATCATATTTCAGTATCAAGAAGTCTGACTAGAAATTGATCGTATTGTAATTCAACATATCTATGAATAGCTACTTTATATATTTTTTTTAAATAATATATTCAAATATTTATTCTATCAATATATCGTTTATTTAAGCGAAATTTTGTCATGAACTTGTATCAATTAATTCTATTTTCGCTTTTGTAATTCAGCTCTGATCATATGAAGAATAAGTACGTTTATTCTGATCATTCAAAATAACATGCGATAATGCAGAGAATACAAAATCTATGAATGAATTTTCTCCGTTTAGTATATAGTTTATAATAAACAAAAAATAATATCAATCGCCAATATCGATCATGCCTATTGATTTTCTCTGATAAATCTAAAATTTAAGAAAAGTGAAGAAGAAACCAATGCACCTATTGACATTTATGGATCTACTATAATTTAGATGCGCAATTTTTTCAACCTACAAATATATCGAGGGAAATCTATTTTAACTGTTCATATGCAGGAGAAAAAGAAAATACGGTAATTGAGAGGAAGATATACACGCCGCTTGGTTTATCTCGTTCTAAATATCCAAGAATCATTTTTATTTCTTTTAAGCAGGCAAGATCATAGCTACTAGTTTATTCATTGTTTTTGTTTCGATTAGCCGTCGTTTTTATTGTTGCTCTTAAACAGTTTTCTTATGGTCTTGTCTTATACCTCATTGAACGAATAATTATAGTACACAAACAGATCGTTTTTTTTTGCCTGATATTAATTATTTATTATTATCACAAAATAAAAATAAAAAGAAGAAATCAAATGGAGCCATTATTACTTATATTAACAAACAGATTAAATCGTGAGTTATGTAAGCGTTTCTTTTCGTTTTTTTTTATAATAAGTAAACCTTTTCTTTTCGTTTTTTTTATAATAAGTAAACCTTTTCTTTTACTATTTTTAATATCAAATAAGTTATTTTCTTTTGAAAATTTTAATTAAGTGAAGAAGCTTCTTTATGATTATATGCATCCTCGAATGGATATACGTATGAATATGTATGCATACTAATTGTACATAAATGTCCATTTTATGCATAGCTGACATTTAACTACAAAAACTATCTATTAATATAGCACATATGATGAATGGCAGTAAATCGTTAAGAACTATTCAACCTATTATTATCCTTCATTTCGTATGCCGAAACGACATTGATTATCAGTGTTAAGTAGTGGCGCTATCTTTGGCCGCTAATTATCTTCTGTCTGTTATCTCTATTGGTCACGAGACTGACTAATTGGTTTAACATATGTATGGAGAAAAAGAGTTGTTGGAGTGGTAAAAGGGATTCTAGCTGGTGTTGGTTTGAAGAAATAAAGAGATAGGTAAACGTACCTATCTAACAATCAGAGTCTTCGTGTTTCCCATCATTTACTAAGCATCTGTCAGTCATTTATCTATTTTGAGATATTACATATTTTCTCCTACAAGAAACGTTTATCTCTATTGAAATGTCTCGATTGTTAAATAATTTATTACGATAAAAAGAGTAATGCGCTAATGATTAAGAGTATATTTTCTCATTAAACTGATTCTGTAACATTTAACGGATAATGTCTCGGTTAGTACTTATCGTTCCAAATTATTACATCTAGATACTTTTGAATATAAGATGAATAAAGAATAAGCAAATCATAATTGTATGTCCTTGATGTAAATATTCATGAGAAATTAAAAATAGAATAAAATCCGTATCCGTCACACTTTCTTCTATGTTCAATTCATTTGTAATATTTTAGTTTTTAGATTGATAGGTATATTTTTTCCATAAGAGACTCAATTATATATAAGAAAAAAACTTGGAAGTATTTTTTTTTCGTCTTCAAGAAAAGTATCATTTTTACGCTTACTTTACATCAAATAGTGTCATATGCTGAGTCGGGTGACTTAAAAATACAGAGCGACAATATAGACTTTATTTTTCTTCCTTATAATATTGTGTGTGTGGAAGTTTTTACGCAGTTTGCTTTAACAACAAAAATAGCAACGCGAAGCGCGTGCACTCACGCCTCGCACCTAATTCTCGACCAGCGTACTCACTCTCTCATTCTCTCATTTTGTTGTTGCTACTTACTACTCTTGAGTGAGTATTCTCTGTTGACAAAAGAACATGAGACACACAAAGACACTGGGAAGAAAGAAGAAAAAAACGAAAGAAAAGTAAAGAATCGAAAGGTAAACGCATATCATTCAGCATTTTTCATTCCTTTCGTATGAGACAAACGATACAGTATAATTACGGAAAAGATTCTTGTTCTTTCATAAGCATACATAATGGTAAGCGCGTCAGCACGAATTTTATTTCTTTTATGATCAATCGGCATCATTTGGTCTTTTGTTTATGCGTAAGAGAACAGGATCGATGAATGACTGCGCAGATGTTCACTAGGAGAAAAAAGGGGAGAAACGGAGCAGTATCATATGTACCAGAAGTCCATATCGTACAAGAAAATAAAAACATTAATATATATTTATATCCCGGGTGACTTTTTTGCGTCCTGCAAATAATCATGTGTCACTTTATTGTTTTCCGCAATGTTTTTTTCCTTATTCTTCTTTAATCATAGCTCATATTGTGTCGTTATGTGAAAGTAAGTAACCACGTGCATTTCAAGACGTATATTAATTCTTAGTTTTCTATTTGCATCTGCTTTTCTTATTCTTTTACAGATTTTTATTTGTCAATTGCGCATTTATTTTACTCTTGTATCATCTATACTATTTTCATAGAAAAATTTCTTTTTAGAGAGAATAAAGACACTCGTTTATGTTTCAAGCTGTTTGTTGTTTGCCGCATGACAGAAACAACAAAAACAATAACAATACGAGAAGAAAAAGAAACGATGGTCACATCCATCTGTCTGCGTGTCTGTCTGTCTGATTGTCTTGTTTTTCTTTGCTTTAGAATAGATATAAGTGCATCGAACATAGACACATACTCATTTCCTTCTGTTGCGTGCCATTTTTCAACAGTTATGATGGAATGAAGCCAACACTCATTCATTGAAATGTAAATGCCTTTGGTAATTTCCCCTGAGAAGAACAAAGAGTGTGCGTATGTGTATAAATTTGTCTTTTGAAAAATATATAAAATGAATTACATCGCGTAGCTTTGTTCTAGCTTGAATGATAGGAGAAATAATTATATTGATTCTAGTTTTTGAGAATACTGTTTATGTGTTTAACTCCCTTGCAGAATGATTAGTAATCCTATGTCTGCTTTTTTACGCTTCCTTCTATGCACTTGAGATGAGTCATTTATGTCTGTTTCTTTGAAATCGTAGGCGAAGTAATATATGTCATCAGACAAAATGTTCTTTTGCGTACATCAATTCATTGATTATTGTTGTTGTCATCGTCTACTATTTGCCTGTATGGAAAATAGCTTGATGGAATACGTCATCGCTTTTATCTCTTAGATCATCGTCAGTCTTTCTGCTATCTTTGTAAATAAGAGCGAATCAAAGAGTTCCTAGTTATTGATTTAGCAGACGATCTATTCTTGACCTAGGAAGAAAATAATCTAAAAAACAAATGATTATACCAATCACTTAGTGATTGTCATGCTATAATACTAATACGAACGGCTATCACATCCTTTATATTGCTGTGATCCATCGCATATAGCATTAGCAGCCTACTATTTTCTTCAAAAAAAAACTTACATCAGGAATACATTTTTTTTATGAAGGATACGTAATAGTTTATGATAGATAGTTCCACCTAAAATTGCAATAGTTATTCCTCTTCTTTGTGCAATGTACGTGTATAGTTTTTTTTAAATAAGTTTTCAATACAGTTAAGAAAGCATATTGCTAAGATAGTCATCCGTACTTCCGTAATTTTTTTTTTGTGTAGAAATGCATGTTAACGAATGCTTTTATTTTTATTTATTCACTAACTATTCATATTTATTCTCGTTGTACAAAAAACGAAAGGAGTATCAATATCTACCAATCGAAAATCACGTTAGTGAAGCTAAAATTTTTATTTTCAATCATCGATTGATATTCTGGAGTGTTTTCTAACAATAACTTATTAAGAAATTATTCAGAAAAAGATAAGAAAATATGCAAAAGTAAAAGTCTCTTTTATTTAACTAAGTCACTCCTATGTAATTATAAAAGTGAATCGAAATTCTCAACGAATGCTTAGCAGATATATCAATGATACATACGTATATAATATGATATATTTTAATGAGAGAGTCTGTAAGAGTATCAATATCAACAAATCGATACTATACATTTGATTTTTATATCTACAATGAAATTTAAATCCTATTTACATTCTCATATAGTGATCGATTGTGAACAGAATGTTTTTTTCGTCGCTTATTTTAATACGATAAAATATTACTTCTTTTCGGTGACATGAATCATGTAAGTGTCTGCCGTCCATTTCGTCGCTATGTTAGTGGGCACTTGAATAAAAGAAGAAATTTTCGTTTTTATTGTGACAACGTAGCAAACAAACATTTTTCTTTTACTTTACACATGAGTGAACGTCCTTGGCCAAGGTCACGATGTATATGCAAATACAGATTTTCATGTTCCATCATGCATCGCTTAGATTTCAAGGTAAAATTATATGCCTGTACGAAGAAAATATTAACAGTGGCATAGAATCCACGCCAGAAGACATACCTGATTCTTGTATGCACATCATAAAAAGACGAAAGTACCGCACAAAGAATAAAAAGTTTCAACGCTTACAGGCATTTTAAGTGACGAACGTTCATCGTCGCATTCTACTTCAGACAGAAGTATCTCTTTTATCGTTGAAAGTTATTAATAGGTATTCACTTGCAATTTTCCTCGTTGTCTTTTGTATCAACCTATAGTAGTGACTGACAGATTTTTATTTTATTTGACATCCCATTTTTATGACTATATTTGCTTATCTTCTTCAATCTTACTTTCTACCGTTTGTTTCTCCTTGTCATTACGACCTTACATATATGCTACGCGAGCGTCAACAAATATTCTACCAGCATCTAGCATATATTCATTCGCATCGTCGTCTTTCTTCTTTTGCTGGCTAATACATTGTTTGGCTTATCGCCAAAATGGGAGAAACAAAGAAAGTATCTTTATATTGTTCATCCTATGTTTTTTCTTTGGGTCATCTGCAATCGTTCTCTTTCATATTTCTTTTCATTTTGTGTTATTAATGCATAAATCTCGTTTGCAATAATACATTGAAACTTCTTTAGTATGTACGAAAAGAACAAAGCTATAGAAATATAATTGTTAAAGTTCCTGAAAAATTCTTTGTTCATTTGTTTGGATGTACGCCAAAATCAATAATTATCAACCTTGACTTCTTTCTTTACATTCATGCATCTGTTTCATTCAATTTCTTTTTCGTCGTCTATGTACGAAATGACCTCTTGATTCTATTTTTTTTATCTTTTCTCTGCTCATCATTTTAATGAAAATTATGGTTAGATAGATAGATATGTATGACTGTCGAGACGAATGACTAGACAGAAACAAAAACACATCTCTGTTGCCTTGATATAACTATGAATAGTCGATGAAATGAAATCGTTAATTGAAGAGAAAAAAAAAGAAAAAATCTATTATCATTATTATTGCATAAAGATGAATACGGGTAGAAAGAAGAGATTAATCGTTTTTTTTTCTTGTTCTCTTCCTTCAGCGTTGGCGGAAGGGAAAAAAACCATAGAATCTTCCTTGTTCGTCATGACGAAAAGACATTCAATGAATAGAAAGAAAGGTATACATGTTATTTTTTTTTCTTTATATTTTTAGCGTTAAGTAGTCATTCAAGAAATAATTTTATGTGTCCCATTGGTACTAGTGGAAAAACCATGCCTAAAAATGATGATAGTTACCAATATAATGATGAGTTAAACCATCGATATAATGATATAAAATATTTTGTTAATGTATATACAGCAGCATTACATTTAAGGTATGAATATTTAAAAACTATTATTTATTTGTCATTCATTTATACATTTCTTTTTCAAGACAACGAATGAAAGAAGAAAAATTAATTCATCACTCATATTCAGCTTATTTTAATGATGAAAATAATAATAATAATAATAATTTCCATTCATTATTTCATAATTGTTTTCATTCGTATGAAATTATTAATTGGCTTATAAAACGACAATTGTGTAAAACAATCGATGATGGACAAGAACTATTTCAAGTTTTAGAAAAATTAAAAATTATTCATCATGGTAAGAAGAAATATGAGTTTTTAATTTTTGGCATTACGCCAACAAAAATAATTTCTCTTCCGTTTAGTTTACATCTGTTAGACAAAAAAAGAGAATAAAACTTTTCTAGGGCACTATAAACTTCGAGAATAAGAACAAAACGACAGTAGCTTTCGAGTTATATTAGAATTATTTCTTTACTCAGTAAATCGTGAATTATGTAAAATATAGTCTAAGGCACCATCCGATACGAAATATTTCGAACCTAATGAATCATATGGAGAACAATGTTATCAGCACATAGCAAAATTTGGATTTGTTTTTTAAAAAGATATGATAGGAAAGGGGAAAATAATGAATGTCTAAAGATTCTATTAGAATTGTGACCTTTACGAATCGTACGGCTGCTCATCTATCAATAATGTAGCAGTAAGAAATCATTATACAATAAATAAAGTTAATCGGAAGTTCGATAAGGCGGAAAATGTATTACACATTTTTATCATAGGAAGTTTATTGATTAAGCTCTTAAATAAGATATACAGATGCTCAAAAAAAGAGCTACTATTGCATCACGAGGTCATATACATATTACGAGCTAGTATACACTCGTAGTAAATTTTGCTAACAAATGATTTAGAAACATACTGAAAGCAAAATAATTTTATATCGATTGATTGTCTTTTCATTTTTTTGTCAAAAATTTTACAATTATATTCGATAGGAGTAAGACAAAAACATATAAATTCATTTTTATTGTTAGCAAGTTTCGACTTCAACAATATGGACCTAAGTAAAGGTTAATATAAAATAGTCAGATAGCTAGTCATACATCTAGAAGATTAATAATACAATGATTACATTTGTTTTGCTTTTTACCTGTTTCAACTCGTGATACATAATGTAAAATATTTGAAGTATTTGTGTACTCAGTTTTGATTTCAAAAAAATCAAAACATCTGATAGCTATGGTGACTAAAACAACTCGTCAATATTTATATTTGGAATTTCAAATAGTCTTGGTATTTTTAGTAGAAATTAATTATCTTTATTTCATTGATTTTTAGTTTGTGATTTGAATGAATTTGAATATTCTTCATTGCCGTCGTCGATTACAAATGTTAAATATTTGTTTCGTTTTCGCCTTGATGATGGAACAGCTGATGAAAATCGTTCCTTTCAACAGTTTGCTTCCATTTATGAAACTTATGCAAGGTAAATTAAAATGATAGATTTTGTGTTTTCAAAATACCAATTTCATTCGTTTTAAGTTTATTTACACTTGATAAAAGTCAATGTCGTGGTATAGATTTACAACAAGAACCAACTTCTCGAAATCCATATGATGAACACTCAGGAATATTACTAAAAGGCGACAATTTAGCTCGAATGGTTGCCTTACGTAGTGTTACAAACATGTCTAATATTGAACGTCTTGTTGATGAAATGATCATATATGGCCTTGTTCAATTCAGTACGACAATTGTTTTTTTCTTAAATAAATGAATGAATTAAAATTTTTTGTTTAGATGAATGTGAACAACAAACAGAATGCAATTGTTCAAGAAAATTTCGTAATGACGATCATCATCAATATATACTAAGTAATTCTCATCGTTTAACACCAAAACAACGTCTTGATTTAATTGCTTTAATGCAAAATGATATTCATGAATCAAAACAAGAATCATTAATATCTCCAATATTAAATGAAACAGTGCAAACATCGATCAGCAGTAATACAATAAGTGGTGATCAATCGACACGAAAAACTTCGAATAGTGATGAAAATGATTGTACAACTAAATCGACTTGTTCGACAAACAGTTTCAGAAGAAAAAAATATTCAAGTCTTAATTCACCAGCGAATCCAGGTAGAATAAAAATTTGTAGATAAAAATCATTTTCTAAAAGTTCGTGTTTCTAAATTAGAACATCGCCCAAGTGCAGATGAACTTGAACGACGTGAATTACCATGGTGTTGGAGGAACTATACGGTAAGTTTTTTTTATTTCTATCTTGTTAGATCGATGCCCCAAAGACTAGTTAAATGAAATTCTGAAATAAAAATAATTCTCATTCGCTGTTTGAATTCAAAATCTGAAGCTAGTCAACTAGTGTAGAAAGTTAGATAGTAACTTATTTCTTCAAATATTATTTGTTATAATATATCTATAGGTCTCTGCTTTTTGAATTATTAATTTCACTATTTGTAGATTAGTCATAGTCAATATTATTGAAATCATTTTCTTTGCGCTCAGTTCTATTTTCTTTTTTTCCTAACTAACTGAATATGTCGATACTTCAATGTTACTTTTCTAACAGTGCTGTTTTTTTTCTCTGAATACGTCTATAGTATATTCTAGTTTATAATAGATATGGCACCATGAAAAATAGTTTTAGAAATAATACCGAGCGTGTTCGTTTTCAGGATATGCAGTAAATTTCGTTCTAGTTCAAGATTTTCTTTAAGATAAATATGATGGCAGTTAAAATGGATGAGAGTTTTCTTGAATCTACGTAATTTATTCGACTAAAGAGATATCTCTATTCAGATTTCGACATTTCAGGCTGGTACACATCCGTTCATTTCTCTTGTGGAAAACTGTCAAGTTGCGATGCAATTTTATTTATCCTTAGTTAAAAATACCAATGAATATAGTTTAGTAGAATTAGATTTTTATCCATCTTAATTTCGAAGCAAAACTTGTGATACCTTTCTGCAGAAAATCTAAATCATGATTCTTTCGGTTTAATCAAAAAGATTAAAATAGTTTTTATGATGCATGTATTGGAACGTTGAGTGATTAATATAAGAAAAGCCATAAAGCTATCGAATATTTCGATGGCATTTTTATGGCAGGACAACCTAACCTGAATGCATTAATTAGATATGGAGGTCATTCTTGATAAAAATTTGATTAAGTAATTATAGAAATATTTATTTATGCCTCACTCGTTCTTTAGCACAACTTTCAATTAGTTTCATCGTTCTTCTATCGTATATTAAGCATATTTTGCCTCGAACTAGAGAAGTACTATTATGCAGATAAATCTCGTGAGACTAGAGAATACTAAAATTGCATCGTTTGTTTTTTTGCACTCGAGCATATAAAACGATAATTAATTTCTCTTCATCTGAATATTTATTTTAGCTCAAACGTGATCGTTCTGGCTATGGACTAATTCTTCAAGGTCAAGGTCCATGCTATGTTGAAAGACTCGATCCATATGGTTCGGCATTTACATCTGGAATTCGGGTACGAAAATAAAATAAATATTTGAATTGAGTTTTTTTATTTATTTGATTTTTATTTCAAGGTTAATGAATATATATATGCAATTGAAGGTATTAATGTTCTACGTCGTTCAGGAAAAGAAGTCGAACGTTTACTATCAATGTTCGATAAATGTACAGTCTATACAATATATAATCGGGATGATTTCCATCGGATACCAATACCACATAATGAATTAAATGGCAAAAATGATATTCATTGTTTCAAACATATATCATCATCATCATTAAATGATCATAATACAAATAATAAAAAGAAATCATCATCAACTGTTAATAATCTTTCATCAACTCATACGATTCACCATCAGCATCAATCATCATATTCATCATCACCAACATCATCTCTAGATGGAAGCTCATCATGCTCAATCTCACCGAAACATTCACAACAATATTCAAATAATATAAAAGGTGCATTGACAAAACATTTTCAATTTTTTCGATTAACATCTCGGTCTTGCTCGAATACATTGAAATAATTTGAGAACAACAGTAGTGTATATATATATATGCATATATTACGTTTTTTTGATCCGGTTTCTTTTGTGTGTATGTGTTTGTTCACTGCTCAGGTTTTCACGTGTGTTTCTCTCTGCACTATTCTGTATGTTTTTTTCTTTTGTATGATGCGATGCGTGCAGCACATCTGTCTATAAAAATTTTATTTCTTTTGTAAATAAGTTTTTCTTGGATTTATTTGAATCTCTATTTTCTCTTGCACTTTTTTTTATGGTAAATCGTGACGAGATTTATAGGCAGATGAAAAAAGAAAACTTTGGTTTGACGACTAATAATATGAAGAAAAAGATAGAGATAAAAAAATAAAGTTTAAGTTGGAGCTGCAAAAATAATTGCATCTTTTTTTGTTAAAATCATGTCAAAAATGTTAGGAAGATAACTTTCTTATTTGCTGTTCGCAAATATTTAATGTGGAAAATGATTCATTAATACAATCGTACTATGCACAACTGTATCAATATTCATATACTTTTGGCGATGTCTTGAGCAAAGTTATTGAGAAGAGTATCTCGAACGATCAGTAGGATTTACTTGATTTGATTCAGATTCGTTCGGTTTTCTTGAGTGAAGTTGTAGTTCTTAATGAGTTTTTTTCTTAAAACGAGTCTCGAAAATTCTCTTGATCCATGTAGTACCCAATATCCGTTCAACTTTAACAAAATATATTTCAATAGGAGTTCTCATTCATCGATGCAACCATCTTTGACGACATTTCTATCTCTTAGTGTATCTTAAATTCGAACCTGTCACATATTTGATTGACGAATGACAAAAGCATGTCACCATAACATAATATGGCTGTGCGCCTAGGAACAATTCTAAATATAACCAGCATTTTTATCCACTTATTAAATTGTCAAGTAAATGATGATGGCTAATTGCTTTATTCTTGGATCGCATCATATATCTAATTATTTAATAACAATTGATCTTGCTCCATAATGCTATCATAGACAGTAGTTTTCATAGTTGATTTTAGCTTAAATCACATGGGGTTCGTAGTTTGATCATTATTTATATTCACATACAATACATTTAAGTCAAACAAGATCAATTGTTGCTTTCGTATAAACTGAATTACAGCTAAATGAAATAATAATATTTAATTTAGAAGCTTCATGAGTGTGATCAAATCCAAATAAAATCAATAATATATCTTTGACATATATTCATAACAATCATTTTTCTCTTGCACCATTGATTATATCATATAATTATGTAATGCTATGTAACGTCTGCAAAAGTGAACATCATTATTTCTCATAGCTATTTATTTTATCAGAACTTCGACTATCGAAAATAGCTAAGAGATTTGTTTCAAACTAATAATGAAAAAAAAGCCACTCCCTCGTAAATGCTAGAATTCAATCGTAGTGACCAAAAATAAATAAGAACAGTGATAGTTAGTGATCACTTGTTTTACAAAAAGGTTTCTGTCACAGTAACAGCAATATATAAGTTAGTAGTAGCATTTGAATAAAAATTAATAACGATTGATATTGTTCTTGGGAATATAAAATGATTGTAAGAGATACCATCAAATAAAACATTGTCACACTATATTTACAGTAATTTTTCAATTTTTTATTTTGTCGACCTGTACTTCTTTTGACAAAGTCTACTATGAAATCCTCTAAAAAATGCTGAATGCAATTTGACGAAGATACCATTCTTGATTTTCTAACAACTAATGTAAGTTTTATAGTCAACCGTGGTAAAAATTGAACAAGAACGGTTGTTCTTTTTTTTTTGATGAAGTTTTTTGTATTGTCGTAGGATGCCGAGTTCGAATATCATGTGTTCACATGTTATCTATTTGTGTGAAAAAGAAACATACTTTGAGATAGTTGAGATGTGGTATAGGAAAAGTTGAAAAAAATGATTCGAATCCTGCGAAAAGACTATATTAGTTCAATAAAATATACTATTTTTATAAAGAAAACAAGATGAAGAGTTCTTTGAACAAAGAGGAACGCGATAGAATGAAAACTACGAACAATCATAGTCGACATAGAGACTCCACTAATTCTTCTATCTCAGCTATTAGATCTTTTTGAGAACGATCTACACTATAAATAAGTGTGTTTCGAGTCTACCGTATTCTAACGTTTATAGATTCAAATCGTTGATTGCTCATGTTCTTAAAGTACGTATATAACACGCCTTCCGATCTGACTCTTCAAAAGCCAACGTACATAAATATTCATATTGCTTAAAAACATGACAAATATAATATATCATTTTATTTGAAATTTAGTCCACTAGTAATTATTTGCAAAACTTAAAAGCATTTACTATGATTGAGATAGCATGTGCCTGTGAAGTTAAATTAAAACGGAATTACTCAATTATTGATCCTTTGGTTTTTATTCAAAGTATCAAGTGGAAAAGCATCTAGACTTCATCATAAGTCTATTGCTTCTTCGAATATTCTAAAATTTTCCCAAGTGAACCATGTGATGAATTTGTTGGTATATTGCATTTGAAAAACATTTTCACTAGTCACATGCATGGTAAGAAAACTCAATTAACTTGTAAATGCACTAACTCAACGAACAAGTGAAACAGTCAAAAAATGCGATCGAATAGTCATAAAACAATGCGTGAAGCAGAATTACTGCCATAAAAAACCCAATGGATTATGTTTTTATGTTTAAAACTATAAAGAATAAATGGACGAATAATCAAAAAAAAAACAAGCGAGAATAACAAATAATAAGAATCTGCCAAGTTTCCTCTTTTTTTACATACAAACATACAAGCACACACACACAGTCATTCAAACGTTCTCTTATCAAAACTTAGAAAAAAACTAAGTACAAAAAATGAAAAGATATGCTAATAACTAAGTGCTTTTTATTTTCTTCATTACTTTTGAATAGAGATTCATTGATATTTTTTCTCGATTCTTTTCATTTTTTGTATTCGACTAGATCCATTAAATAATTGCTTTAAATTATTCCAAACCGCTGATGACGCATTTTCTTGTGCACGTATTAATGATGGACCATTGCCACGAAATTGTGCTAGACGGCGATCAGCAGTTGATAAAATAACCATTGATTGATATTGTGCACTAATTCCATTTTCATTTTCATTCTAAAAAAGAAATTCTTCATATTTTTATATAGAATTAAATTTTATTTTGTATTTTATACAAACCATTTTATCTAAGTATTCAATATGAATTCTTAATTTTTGACAAGTTTCAATCAATTGTTGTTTATATGAATTCTCAACGTTTGATGGCAATGATGATGGACTAGATGACATTTTATTATCTTTCTCAATGATTTCCTCTACAAAATGTACATGTTTTTTTTCTTGTTTATCTGTTTTCTCATTATTTCCATCTCTTTTAAGCAAACTTTTACTTGGTGGTGGTAGTAAAACAACAGCGGTATCTAATTTTTGAAGTAAAGCTTCAGCAGCAAGTTGTTTAGCTATTTTCTTCGTTTTACCATAGCCTTCAGCTACGTCATTATCACCAAATCTGATTTGATAAGTGAAGTTTTCTTTATCAGTTAACTGAATAAATTCAATTTTGACTTGCCGTAATTGAGCTGATTGATAAATACGTGTAATCGGATTCAGTTTCAACTGAATATTAGTTGATGGTAAAATTTCTAACATTTTTCTTGCAGCCAATTGTTTAGCTGTTTGCTGAGTAGAACCTGTAGCAGTTGCAGAATAATTTTCACCAATAACATATGTGACAGTTAATGGATCATCAAAAGTAATGTGAACAGTATGACCAAGTTGTTTCGCTCGTTCATACATAAGAGATATATCGGATTTTCGTGGATGTTGTTTTCTAGCATTCGATAAGAATGGAACATTCAAATGTTGTGTTGATATTTGATTTTGACGTAAGAAAAATAAAGCATCAAGAGCACACTTAGTACGAGCTTGCTGGTGTGTATAACCATGTCCATCAAAATATGAATTATGACCAAGATAAAGACGATAATAAAAAAGAATACACGACTGATTTGTTGAGTTTGATTTAAATTGTTGATTGAGCAAAACATAACGAATTGAAATATGATTTTGAATAGACCATATATTTAATGTAACAGTTGGTGATTGGAATTCTTAAATAGATTACAATTTTCTTAATAGAACTATTCATGTTTATTTTACTTTATAGGGATCTATTTTAACAATAATTTTGAAAGTATGATAGTAAAGACATATTTAGCCATACTATAAAAGCACTACGACAATCAACGGCTAACATAATTTTGTAAAGTTTCAATCATTCTCAAGGGTAATTTTATTCACAAAAAGTGCGATCCTATCTGATAAATAAGTCATATACGATTAAAATAGAACCTTAAATATTCAAAACCATGATATTAATTAAAATTATCTTTTTTTTAAATTTCTCTACTTTGTGAAAACATGAATTTGCATCAAAATAAAACTGAAATTTGAAATATATAGTATATATGTTTGAAGATAAGCCAAGCGGTAAAATTTCATGTAACCGAGATTTGGTTTCTTCCAAAAATTTGAGATAATATGTGTTGTTGCCAGCTCGAAAACAATTTCTTTATAAAAAAAAAAGGCAAAAAAGCTTCTTTTTTCATTTCTTTTCTCTTAATGCTTTTTTATAACTTTAACCAAAATATTCTTTGTGAACCTTCATTTAATGTATTGTTTTTGTTTGAAAGATCATGTCCAGGTGAAAGATGCGTGGCATATTCTCTTTTTAAATGAAAGTTTTCTAGAATTACATAAGTAACTTGTTGTAGGTAGAATTGTCTTTCAAGTGTTTTCAAAACATTAATACTTCTCATTATTTTTTTCTTCTCTACTGGAACAAATATAAGACTTCTAAGATCTGTCACACAAAAATAAATTCTTAATATTCAGTAAGGATTTGTAGATAATTTTGAGATTACCGAATTAATTATTTCAAGTGCCTTTATGATAAATATCTCTCTTAAACATCATAATATCAAGCTAACACGTAAAATTTAGATGCTCCACTATGTTTCCAACATATATTAAAAGTTTCATACGATTTGAATGCATTTATCTCATGATTAATTATTTTTCAGAAAAAAAAGAAACTAATTCAAACAGCACACATGAGCAAAAGAATGGCAATACAACTAACTTGAATTCTATAAAATCAGAAATTATTTAAGTAAATTCAATTCGAAAGCGTGCTTATTTCAAATGAATAATAGATATATAAATTGACGATGAACTTCATAACTATATTTTGACTAGAGAATGAGGATATATATATATATACATATTTACAATGCACTCAAAAATGAATCTATTTCTAAAACACTGAACTAATCTCTTTCAACAGTAATTCAATTGCTTTCGGGAATAAAATCTTCAGTTTCAACAATAAAATACTATCGTAAGAATAATGTTTTTTTTATGAATAGCTAAAATTTTTTTTTCTAAAATTTATGTTGACCCTACACTAAGCTGTATTGAGAAACTGAAAATAATTTACTTAAAAACAATTAAGTAGTTTTGAAATTGAATCTCTAGATTTATTATAGGATTTTTAAAAAGATCTCTTTACTACGTAATATGAATTTTATGACAGTAAATTGTGTACCAATTCACTTGAAATCAGATCGATATGCAATCAATTCGAAAAAAAAGGGCATGCTTTGATGTTTGCTATTGATCGTTATCTCTTCCTTTTTGTGTTAAAATAGGAGACATAGAAACTTGCAAAATTAGACATTGGAATACTTCATGAATCACACCCATGATTGAGTTCTATTTTTTCCTATATACATCATACTTATCACTAATAAATCTTACCGTTTATTTGTGAATTATCTTGGTCATAATTATTGATGTTTATTGCATTATGGTAATCATTCAGAGCTAGTTGCGCAGCCGCATACTTTGCTGATTTAATACTATGCTCAGTACCAACATAACTTTTATCATCTACATGAAGTCGAACTGTATATATTTTTCGATGAACTGGGCCAAACTCTTTTTCCAATCGATATTCAACAAATATCTATATTGGTATAAGCTTTTTGTACACTAAGAAAATTTTCGTTTGTATGAACATACTTTATTTCGTTGTGCTAAATTGTAGATAGCTTTTATCGGTGAAATTTGTTGCATTTTTGCAGTAGTACTACTAATAATAGGGCCGATTATATACACTGAAAAACTGCGTGACAGTGATTTTGTGTCTTTCCTTTTATCTATTTCACATTTATTTTCCTTTTAGATATGAAAAGACGGACAGATGAACAACACATGCATATACAACAGATATAATGTCGGAGAAGCGCTAGGTAATCAGGAGAAAAATGCGCGTGACTACACAATGATAAAATGATAAACGGCTAAGAATAGAGGAAAGTCAATATTCTGTTTCTTTCTTTTTTCCTTGCTTTCTTTCTTTCGTTCGTTCGTTCGTTCGTTCTTTCTTTCTTCATTTCATAGAGCCCCAATTTATGAAAAAAAAACACGTTAGACTTGATAATAATAGTTGACATATTCCTATGATTGCAAGTATTTATTGACATAAAATATTCATAACTTTCATTTAATAATATCAATAAATCTCAATTTCTATATTTCGATAGAAAGAGAAAAATTAACGTATGCTCAATTTGATATAATCAAACTACTATGAGTACCTATAAGAAATTTATACAATTAATATCCTGGAAGTAATATTAAATTTATTCGTATATAAATTTGGCATCAAGGAATATTAAATTTTATATGAATAGCGTAATTATAAATGTACACGAACGTGTTGTAAATACTTGTATGAGTAAATAGCTACTAGCTTCAAATTTTATTTATCTTAGAATGTTCTATATTATCATGCAGTGCATTTGTGTCGTCTATTCAACCAAAAAATGTTGTGTGTATAAATCATAAACATTTTCACTGTGCGCATTAATTGAAGTCGCACTGTGTTTTTTTAACCAGAATATTTCTGTCGTATCGATATTGTACTCGTATGTTTGTCAGGTATTTTCTTTTCGTTATGACTATCAAAACAACAAATTATGTCCAAAAGTATTGCATTGATGATAGATGCGCGCACTGCGCATCATGAAAAGTCACGTCTTTTTGAAGGTAAGATATTTCGAAAGATAAACAAGTATGCATAAAAATACACTACTTTTCTCGTTTAAAAACAAAACAAACAAATTAAAATGTTGCCTCGCTTTGTTTACATTGAAGACAATCAATATCAGTTGATTTGTTTTCTGCAGTACAATATCTGCATCTCCATGGAAGATTTTTATCCGTATCGGCATCCTTATTTATTGTTTTTGGATTATTTTCGGAATAAATTGGTGAAAGTTGAGTTTCATCTTCTTCCGGTATTGCTTGTTGATTTTGATCATAATATTTTTGATGTTCTGCATAATATCGTCCATCTTGATCATAGTATTCTTCATCTTGAGCATAATATTGCCCATCAGTTTTGTAATATTGTTCGCTGTCAGGGTAAGATTGTTCGTCTTGATAAGACTCCTGTGGAGGTTCTTCTCGCTTTGAGCGTTTACTTTTTTTTCGTCGAAAAATTCGTCGAAGTGTATCATCAAATGATAAAAGATCAGTTTGCATTCGATTAATTGTTGCATCATTTTCAATAGCTTTACCACCAAACATTTTTCCTGGTATTTTTTGCACTTCACCAATAACGTCTTCAATTTGTACAGCATTTTGACCCGTTCCAAATGCCAAGTCATCTATTGTCCAGCTAGATGCAACTGCTTGTTTCTGTCCCATACTTGATTTGAAATGACTTAAACTTAATGTTTTTTTACCTGTAAACATTATATATTCCGCGTTCTTTCAAGCATGACGCGGTGAATAGTAACATTTTCACTGATTATTATCATTGTATCGAATATATAGATATATTTTTTTAAAAGAATGTATAAAACAAAAAAAAACTGATGACAACAGCAAGCGAAAAAGTAATCTCGAATATACAGAATAAATAAAAGAGATGAGTATTATGCATAAGAAAAACAAAATTCAAATATAAGTCTATAAATAATATCGAATACGAGATACAGACAAGATCAATACTTTTATAGTTAGCATCACTGTTATCTGAATTAAACATTATGAGCAACAACATAAAATTTTAACACGCTTAGAAGGTATTGGAGTAAGTGCAGCTAATATAGCAGCATCAAATGTTTCTTTAAGATTTTCCTGTGTTAATGCTGAACATTCAATATATGCATATGCACCGTATTCTTTTGCTGCACGTTCACCTTCTTCACGTGTTATTGGCTTTTGTTTCGATTTAGCTAATAATTCAACGTCGGCTAGATTTTTACGAAGATCAATTTTTGTTCCAACGAGAACAAAGGGTGCTGTACCAGATGGTGATGTTGATTGACGTATTTCAGCGATCCAAATTTTAAGTGCATTATTAAATGATGCTGGAGCCATAACACTGAAGCAAACAAGAAATACATCAGTATTCGTATATGAAAATGCACGCATCAATTCAAAGCCTAGAGAATAGATTGAGAAAACAAAAATAAAAAATTGTCATTCTCATTAGAAGATTCTGACCAGTTTGACCAGCAGTGTCAAATAAAGCAAGTGTGCACGGTTCATTGTTAATCATTACAGTAACTGAATAATTATCAAATACCGTCGGAACATAAGACTGTGGAAATGTATTCGTAGTATATGATATAAGCATTGATGTTTTACCAACACAACCATCACCAACACAAACACATTTTATTGTTTTATTTGTATAATTACTACCCATTAAATTATTCGAAGTTTGTGGCATTATCTAAAATAGGTAATAACTGTTCATATCATTCAATATAACTTTAATGAATTTCTTTCGCTTTATTTATATGCAAAAATGATAGTACATAATAGCCTATTAATCGCATTACTAGGAAAAAAGAAAAATAAGCGAGATGAAACACAACAAAGAATGAATGCGATTGTTTGACGTAGAATATCAAAATCAAGTGTGTACAGACACTTAAATAATTCATTTATTAAACGATAAAAAAAATATCATAAAACAAAAAAAATCCTGTGAAGTATACATATGTATGATTGTTCGGCCAATAAAAACCGAAAATTATTCATCAATATACAATAAAACATCACCAACTATTCGATAATGTATTTTCGATAAATTCAAATTTATTCTCAGAATATTATGTTCGAAGTTATAGCTAAATAAAAAGTAAAAACAAAACGTTTCAAGTCAACACAAGAACATTGAAAATTTGTTTTTGTTTTTCTATTATAAATCTACTATTAGAAGAAAAAGAAAGAAACGATTAGGCATATTTGACCTGTTTGATATCACACAAGGATTGTTCATTGTTTTGTGAATTTGCTAAAGCAATATGCTTTCTTAATTGATCCAATGCAAGTAAATTTTGTCTTCGTAAATCTTGTTCTTTATCTAATTTCGTTTGTAAATCATTAGTTTCTATTTTCAATCGATCTTTATCAACTTGAGCACGTTTTTCAGCTAAGTCAATACGTCGATCGCATTCACGTCTTGTTGTTTGATCATAATGGTCGATTCGTTTTTCAAGCTGTTCCAAGCGTGTTTGCTTTTCGAGTAAATCAGTTTGCATTTGCAAATGATTACGACGATAGAATTCATTTTGTTCAGTTAATTTTTCAATATGTTCAGAGAACTCTTTATTTTCCTGACGTTGTTCGTCAAGAAGTTGTTCAGATGAATTCGCTCGAATAGTCCAACGTGTATGAGTCTTTTTAAGAGATAAATGTTCTTCTTGAAGTTTTTCTAATATCTGATTTGTTTCATTAAGTTTGTTTTTAACAATGTCAAGTTGTTCTCGATAATAATCATTTTCAGATTTTAAACGTAAACATTCATCACGTGCTTTTATATAGGCTGAACGAATAATGGAAATTTCATCAGATGTCCAAATATTTTCAGTTTGATCAATGTTTTTCTCTTTTTCTTTATGTTTCTCAAGAAATGATCGAATAAGACGAATATCAAGTACGGAATCAACATGTTCAGTTTGATTAGATGTTGTTTTAGTTTTAGTTTTAACTGTATTGTCATCTTCTTGTTGGGCTAAACGTTGAATGAGAGTAAATAAATAAGATTGTTCATAAATAGCTGCTAGTGTTGGAGCATCAAATGTTGATAACGTAGTAATATAACGACGTAAACGTTGATTATCAGGTTGGAAGGTAGAACGATAATCACGAATAGAATATTGAGGAGGAAAAAGTGATTCAACCCAATGAGATGGTGTAGGTGAAGAAGTCATCTAAACTCAAAAAGAATAATGAAAATTTCTCTTTTAGATTGCATGGTTAATTGATTCAATATAATTGCAGCAGATGTGTATTCATACTTTTGATCATTGAAATATCTGTTCATATGTACATATGGTACATTCATGTATATGTTTACTTGACGATCGTTCTCATCAGTGTGCGAAGATTCTAGTACATAACATTGTCTCATCTCTCAATAGAACCTTTGCATGCTTTAATAGTATTTAAAAATTGAAATCCGATAATATCCTCAATGACGAAGTATGGTAGTTTCAAATGAATTTTATGTGTTTTGTTCATATAGTTTATCTTCGTCTTTTTCATTGGTATCCTGTTTGCCATTGATTGTCATATAGTGACCTCCATTCAATTCTCTTCCGATTTTATTGGTTGATTGAGCTAGTATCTCAGCTGTAATATATCGTAGTTTTCGACAAGTTCATTCTTATTTTTCTATTTTTGCAATTAAACGCAATAATGTTTACTGTTTAAACGAAAACTTTATATATTCTAATGGCATCATCATCAGTTATTCGAGTTCAACAACAACAAGGACTAATTAATCATAATAATCATTCGAATTCAACTAGTGAAAAACATACAATAAGCATGTTTCGTGTATTTCTTCGTGCCTTTGACTATATTTATTTGTTAAATACAAAAATCTTCTTTTATTTTTTGTTAATGTTGAAACGATTCCTGAGATTTTTTTTTGGCGTTTGGACATTTATATTTGTTACTTTACGTGGATCAAAGAAAAAAGTATTAGACTGTAGTAAATAGCGTTTTTCTAAATAAAACTTTTCGCTTTTTATTTTAGCTTATTCAATTCCAATCTGTTAAATATTATAATTGTCCTCTTCAACCATTATCTCTTCATAGATTGCGTATGTAATACATTTATTTTCAGCCGTACATATCTTTGTTCTTCCATAGATTTTCTTCCTAAAAAAATCTTAGTATTAGATTTGGATGAAACTTTAATTCATTCACATCACGATGGTCTTTCACGGGTCGCTACTGTCAAACCGACAGGACCACCTGATTTCATAGTTCGCGTTGAAATCGAACGACATCCAGTTCGCTTTTTTGTTTATAAACGACCTCATGTGGATTATTTTCTTGAAACAGTAAGAAAATCAATGAAGACAAATTTAAACAAAATCACACAAAAATTCTAATACTTTGTTTTAGGTGAGTCAATGGTATGACCTTGTGGTATTTACAGCGTCTATGGAAATATACGGCGCAGCTGTAACTGAACGATTAGATAATAATCGAAATATTCTTTCACGACGATATTTCAGACAACATTGTACACTCGAATTTGGTGCATATTCAAAAGATTTAGCTGTTGTTAATGGTGATCTTTCGCGAATATTTATTTTAGACAATAGTCCTATTGCATATAGATCTTATCCATTAAATGCAATACCTAGTAAATCATGAATGCATGTTTAATTTGTGATCATTAATATTTATCTCCGTTTTTGTTTTGTTTAGTTAAATCATGGTTTTTTGATCCAACAGATACGTGCCTATTAGCATTGCTCCCATTTCTTGATGCATTGAGATTTTGTCGTGATGTTCGATCTGTCTTAGGAATGAACTTACATTTACATCAAAATTTAATGATGACAAGTACAACTGGACTAACTACACAAGTTGTTCCATCATCGATGCGATAATAAATTAGATAGCTACTTTGATTAGTATTCTTTTTTTTTTGTCTTTTGCTGTATCTTTTTTTCTGTTGAGTGTACATTGTTTTGTTTGTGTGGATCTCATGACAGAGAAAATAAAACGCGCAGCCCGGTTACGTGGCCATTGTGATTAATTATTGCTTTTCTTTTAACTCAAATGAAATCAATATGAATAGCTTTTCTTTGCAAAGATTCTGCAATTTACAGACAAGTAAACGAACTCTCTGTATCCTATGTATCCAATCTTATAGTTATTATCAACGGATGTATCGATACAATGTACGAGAATCCTATGCTGATATATAGATGTTTTATGCTGCAAAATCGACGCAACATAATCAGTTAGCACTTCATAACAATTCACCTGTATTTGATTCAACACTTCGACTCTCTCTTTTAAGTAGATAAAATACTAATCATGAAAGACAAACCTTGATTTCAATACTCATCAATTATATTATCTCTTTCAAATAGATATCAGATTTTTTTCAGTTGTCGTATGTAGAGAATGTCACATTTGAATAGTTCATCATCGTTTACTTCTTAGATTTTTTATAGTAGGTTATGTGTAATAAAAAAATCAGTTTCATGAACACCTAAATTGAACGTTCGGATTATGCCTCGATCAAAAACTGTTCAACAAATGCGTAAAATACCATTAATGCAAAGCAATTCATGATCTTGAGTTGGCAGAACTCTAATATCATTCTATATCAAATGAAACTTACTCTGAGTTTTTCTAACTATTGTATAACTAAGTATCATCAAAGGATTCAGTATTATAGCTACCGTAAAAAGAATTGAAGAATCCTTTCAAGTACCGATAAACAGTCTGTTTTCAAAAGAACTTTCAAAGTTGTTTTTTTTATATTCTATCTTTTAAAACTATATCTGAACAAAAATAACAACTGACTTTATTATTCGTGAATAATTAACATCAATTATTCAAGACCGAAGTAGAAGTTTATTTTGATTGAATTTGTTCTAAATAAAAATAAAATTGAGATCGTTTTTTGTTGTAATTTACAATACTATTGACAATGAAAAGAACGTGGTTGTGACAGACTTTAGGGCTGCCGGATCAGATACATCGAAATTATTACGTCTTCAAACAATCAAATCAGTTCCTTTTTCTGTATATGTCAGTCGAGAAAGTTACAGCTTATAAACATAGAACAAATCATTTTTATTTCTTTTGCTAGTTTCCACCAATTATATGCTCATTCTAGTTTTAAAGCTCATAAAAATCTTTCAAGTAAAAGAACTATGCTTGAAATATAATATACATCTAGTAATCAATACAGTGCATTTCAACATTATTCTTTCGCTCTATGAGAAAAGTAATAAAGAGCGCCGGTTCTCATTTTTATAGATGAATTACATGCGGAATCGATAATAACAATAGAAAGCAAAGATACTATACCAAGTACGTATCCTTTCTTGTCTGAAAACACTATTGAATTTAAAATCTTTGCATCAGATGTAAAAACTGTATGAATGAATTTGAAGAATGTATCGACTAACTTTGAGTAATTTATAGATGAAAAAACGAAATGTAGTATTTATGTCAACAAAAATTTTCGTCGACGAACTAATACAATATGTTTTAGTTCTAATAAGTATATCACCTAATAAAGAATACCATTACGAAGACTATACAGCAACAAGACTTAATGAAAGTAGTTTTACCATGATATAAAATTTTTCTTATTGATTATACATTAATCCCTGGAAAATTTTTGAAAAAAAGCTTAGTAATAAAAGAAATACTATTCAAGTATAATTTCATCATTTAAATAAAAACATAATTATGTTCGAAATGATTGTTTCATGAATATAGAGAAAATATTACTTAAGCTAAGTTTGGTTTACGTTTCAGCTCGATTTTTTTATTTGATGATTATTAAGAAAAGCTTTCAACCAGAACATAATATGCTCTAAGGTTACCTCTGCTCGGTATATATATTATTCGTTGTTATAATCCGTTCTTGCTTTTCTCTCTTAAATAAATTTATCACTTACAACATGTAATTCAGTATTTTATTATTCTTACAATTATATATATATATACCAGACGTTTTGAGGGGTGGCAGAATTCTCCCAAGAACAACCAGCAGAATTCTGTAAGAATAATACCTATATGACTTAAAGGCACATTGCACACTACCAACAGAGAATTCTGTTTGCCCAGCAGAATTCTGTGTTACTGTATACACACACTACCTTGGGTCGAAAGCAGAATTCTAAGCAGAATTCAACATTTCCCAGCAGAATTTTGTCAGAATTCTGTTTGCCCAGCAGAATTCTGTGTTACTGTATACACACACTACCTTGGGTCGAAAGCAGAATTCTAAGCAGAATTCAACATTTCCCAGCAGAATT